CCGATCTTGCAGTACGCCTTGAGCTGAAGCTGAGGATTAATTATGAAGAGTGAAACTGCGACGAGCGACACAACCAGAGAAGGATGACAAGAGAAATGATGCGTGTTTCGCTGTTTCAGTAAGGGATAACATTGGATGGGGGAGAATAATCGCAACCATATATGTGTGAAAGGAGGTGGATGTTGAGCGAACTAGGTTACACAGTTTGACTGGGGTAGAGAGTGGTGTGGCTGAAAGTCAGTCTTGGTTGCATCTGAGGCTTAACTTTGCTCGCCCTCAATACACTTGCACAGAGCTAGTATTGTATTCAGTGTACTGGCTTACTGGTTCACTGTGAAGACTGACGTTATTTTCACTCCTTCGCCTTATTCTTCTTCATTCTCCATCGGTATACTAACATGTATTGTGATGACTGGCACAGACACAATTGTTTTCGGTTGTCACCTGTGTTTCTGGCACCAGTGTAAGTACTTTTACAGCGAGTCACTGTCTAGCTGATCATTTCACCAATTGAAGCGGTTCCATTGCCTTCTTGTGTAGCAGGCTATTAGGCACACTGAGTGTACCAGGGATTATGATAATGAGGAATTTGTATCCTGGAATTAGGTGCACGGAAATTTGTTCTCTCCACTATGATTAATTTTGTGAATTAGACTGGATGCATGAAATGGAGGTGAATCGCTGAAGCCAATGAGACACACGTCTACTAAAATTATATTCGAATGGGATATGGAATGTGGAAAAGAAAAGTGATGAGAAGAAGTTAAGATAAGATGGGTGTAGGTTTCAAGTCAATGGAGGAGAGTTCTGTGTGGCGACAAATCTGATCTCGTTGACGAAGAGAGGTCTTCAAATACGAAATATTTGTTCTATGCTAGATACCAATGAGTAGGGGGAATCAGTGTAATGATCATCGAATTAGACCTGAGAAATGTACAGTTTGGCGTAGAGATGGTAAGACATTTCATATACTGTTGGACACAGCTGCCGAATTAGTCGTCCCACTTGACGTGTGGAGTTGTTAAGTCAATGGATGAATACTGTTATACTCTTTGACATTGTATCTCGATGACCAGATGGCGAGTGTACGCTGAGGAATAGTGATGGATTCAGAGAAAATCAACTCTCCAGCTACATCGATTTATGATTAAGATCAGTGGCGTGGCGACAGATCGCTTATTCTAATGTGACCTCAGGTATGCTGGAAGTGATCTCTTCAGGGATATACACTGCACCTTCGATGACTACCTGACTTATTGAAGCCTGTGAAATATAGCTATTGAGGGATAAGAGGAGACGAGTTTTCCTCGCCACCGCTGCTGCTGCTAATACTACTACTGCTACTACTACTGCTACAACAACTACTACTACTACAGTTTAGTGTCGATTTCTCTTGCATTAGGAGTTAAATCAAAGGTGGGTGGATTGACTTTGTCAGTCGAGTTTGGTCTCTCTTTATTTATATTCCGATCTTGCAGTACGCCTTGAGCTGAAGCTGAGGATTAATTATGAAGAGTGAAACTGCGACGAGCGACACAACCAGAGAAGGGTGACAAGAGAAATGATGCGTGTTTCGCTGTTTCAGTAAGGGATAACATTGGATGGGGGAGAATAATCGCAACCATATATGTGTGAAAGGAGGTGGATGTTGAGCGAACTAGGTTACACAGTTTGACTGGGGTAGAGAGTGGTGTGGCTGAAAGTCAGTCTTGGTTGCATCTGAGGCTTAACTTTGCTCGCCCTCAATACACTTGCACAGAGCTAGTATTGTATTCAGTGTACTGGCTTACTGGTTCACTGTGAAGACTGACGTTATTTTCACTCCTTCGCCTTATTCTTCTTCATTCTCCATCGGTATACTAACATGTATTTTTATGTCTTTGAGTGCCTCTTTTTATCTTGTTTTTTTTATTCTGTATATAATTTTTTTTGGTGAGTTCTCCTGCTATATTCTTCTTTTCTTTTGAGCTTGGGCTTTCTTTTTCAGTTTTTATTATGGCCTATTTTAGGCACTTCGTGTCTTAACCACATTAGCCTTTTTTCTTCGCTACTTATTGTTGTTTATTTTACTTAATATGATTGTTAACAAATTAACAAAACATTGTGATTTGTTTTTCTCAGTGAACGGGAAGCCTACTTCTGTTTATCACTGTTTCTTCTACTCTGTATTATATATCTTTTAATTTTATCACAGTCTGCTATGAATGCTTGTTTATATCATTCTTTGTCCCAATTTTCTTGATGAGCAATATTCGCGACGTAAATTCGAGTTATATTAATGTCTACCAATTTGGCTAGTAGCCAGCTCTCAACACAGCCTTATTCTTGTTCATTCTTTTACGGTTTCCTTACCTCTTCTGTGTCTTTATATGATTCTCTCTTCGGCATGTCTTTTGTTTTTCATCCTGTTTTCGTTCCTTTTCTCGTTTTTTTATTGCTTTTCTGTGAATCATTGATCGTGTAGGTATTTTTCAATTTCTTGAGGGCTATTGCTTTTATTATTTTGTGCTGCTTTTACCTTGTAAATTATTTAAATTAATTCCAGAGTGTTAATAAAATCAAAACAAGATTTTTCTGAACGTTTCGCCGTGAAACCCACAGCTTCTTCATCTGACTCGGCATTCAAATTATTCCAGGATGCTTTTACCTTGGTTTATTTATTTTCTTATTTTTGTTTTGTCTTTTAATATTTTCTCTCGTTTGTTGGTTTATACGTTCTTAACTTTCGTGCTTTTGAACTTGTCGTGTTTTTTTATCGATTTTACGCCTTATTTTCCTGAATGATAAAATCTTTTGTTGAAAATATATTGATTTTATAGCTTATTCTATATTAAGGACATTTACTCAGGTATGTTTTCCACATTTTTTTCAATTTAATTTTTATATTCACGGTTTCATGTTTTAATGTTCAACTGGTGCAAAATTTGTTCCACCTTGCGTTATTATTGACCTGTTGATAGTCGCTGAATTGGAATATATGTGAAATTTGCTCGTGGGTCTTTTGAACTACTGCGGGAAACCACCTCACTGGAACATCAGCATTTATGTTTAGAGGAAATAAACTGATTTCTTTCTGGAATCGGGACGACCATCTCATTCACTTACCTGGGTAGAGTAATTTCGACCACAGTTTGCACGGAGTGGGATGTTTAGACCAGTTAGGATCAAATCGGGAAAACAAGACAGGCATTTACTACTTGGAAACCAGTGTAGAGATTCACTCACTCATTAAGCGCAAGGAACAAAATTAGAATTTCCAACACATACGTGATGTCAGTAATCCTTTATGCTTCACAGAATTGGTGCTGGAGTCGCCAAAAGCGTTTCTAACGAACTGCCAACTTTCATCAGCGACTGCCTTCACCGCTTGCAGAAGAAAATGGAGGGGGGAGTGGATACAGGCCGAAGAGGCCACCAAGTGATATTTCACCTCAGGACCTACAGTGAACGTCTAATAGGAAGCAGTGATCTGAGTTTCCAAGGGTGACGTGGAATACATCATTCTGAGAGGAAATGAAGGCTTCTGGGAAGTGATCCAGCTGCCTGAAAGTGACAGCAGAGAATTGGGTGGAATGAAAATCTGTCCTGAGTTCCACTTGGAATGTACGGAACAAATAATAAAAATAAAATATAATACTGAGATTTATATACAACCCGCTCATTATTCAGAGTAGTATATAAAGGGTGAAACTTTCAGTTTTTGTTACTGTGATACCGTCACTATTTTACCTGGTGATATGCTACTGTTTAGAGTGGAGATAAATCAGAAATAGTTAATTGATCTTTTAAAAGCGGTACAACCTGACTCCATATGTAAACTGGAAAAGCAAAAACAAATTGCATAGAGGTCAAAAATAGATCACCACTAAACCAAAAATATGCAGTCGGTCCGACTTTCGTGAAACAATATGTATATTGCTGATTACAGTAGTGATTAAGTTCTGTCTGACTCCACTTTAGAGTTGATCATCTCATGTACTGGCAAAGATATCCAACTTTGCATCTAGAATATACATAGTCACATATAACAAGACTGCAAAATATAATGATTATATTTGATCACATAATAGAAAGATGAATATCCACCTCCGCAATTCGGTAAATAATATTCCTAACATAATGTATCAAAGAATGTAATGTGTATGTACAATTTATAGCAATGATTTTTGTTTTGTTTAATGAAATGGTTAGACATTTAAATTCTGCTAATATCACTTTTGTTAACAATGTTTTGCATTGAGAGATGTATACCGGTAAAATTATTATTCTTTTAAGAAAATAAATACTGAAAGAAGTATTTAGCAGTTACTTAATATGAAGATATTACTTGTTAAGTGTGAATAAATAAAGCTACAAAATAAAAATGTGTCTTAGCGAATAGATAAGTGATAAATGTAAGGTACATGGAGTAGCTGTATGGCTAATTTACGTTTCATTTCTACTGATGTTATCTGGTGTTCAGAGTGTTATTATTATTTAATCTTAAAAAGGGGGTAGCACTGTTATTGTATTAAAAACGTAGATATGAAAATAAAAAGAGAACGAATTGAAAGTAATGCCTAACCTGGGAGTGAATAAGAAATTCAGTTACCCAAATTGCCTAATATGTTCATAATGTCAGTTGAAAAAGAACTGTCAGTTATCATGCTAATGTTTGTTTGTGTACAAGGCATTTTGACTTTATATTTTTTTCATATATATATATATATATATATATATATATAATCTCTTATACATTAATTCGTTTTCGATATTTTGTTACAGGAAGTTGTTGTTGTTGTTTCTGTGTGTACTTTTATCTCTGAAATTAAGTACTATTCAAAATAAATAAGCATATTTGTTTTCTTATAACAATATAGGAAAGAATAAGAACAGGATATAATGTTGTTTGAAGTTTTGCAAAAATACCATAGAAAGTAATCTCCGGACCATACCTCCAATAAAATAATTGCCTCATTGACTTCATCATTATCCTTCTTATTGTCATCTGTTATCTTCCTTTACAGACGGCTTTTGACATGGTCTATTTCTAAAGTTAAACAAGAAGATTTTATTCACAAATTGTCAAACATAAAAGTTTATAGTAACAGGCAACTGGATCAGGAGTTTTGGATGGGATTGAATATCACATCTTGTTTATTCAAAACTATTACAAAATTATTATCACTTTGACCTTAAAAAAACTTTGGGGTCAGAGGAATGTGGATACTGCTTGAGTGAATGTCACTGTTATTTAGAAATTCCGTCAATTGTGTTATCATCGGTATACGTGGAAATCACATCCTGAAGTTCTGCCTACCTAAAGTATCTATTTCTAAACAAGATAAACCTTGAGATAATAGAAACATAAAGTAAATTTTGAAATCTTGAAAAGCTATTCAAGCCACGAATAGAGTTGCTCTTTCAAATTAAGCCAAGAGGAATATCAGTGTCGGTGGCACAGTGGTTAGGACTCTCGCCGACCATGCACATGGTCCGAGGTTCGATCCTCTGCCGACGCACACATGATGTTTATTGTCGGCCTGCAAAATTTGGGCTACCGATATCCATGCTGAAAGTTCCATACCTGTACCAAAAATACAGTGTGGAATCAAGCTGTAATCAAAAAAACAAAAAAATAATAATAGTATGTTTGCTAGAAAATTCAGGAAACACCAGTAAGTGATGTGTCTACGTTCTAAGTCCTCTTAGTCTCACTTGAAAGATAAAGTTAATACTCTCAGTGACGATAATGTATTTATCTGGTTGATTTACTTCAAATCTAGGTGGCAGCTGTTGCATTCGAGTTCACGAAATCTCATAGTATCTCATATTTAATAGTTTTTATGATTTATATATTGATATCAACCAGCAACAAAAACACTACTTTGTTCTGACTCATAAAACTGACCTGCAGTATTTTAGATATGTGCTACACGTGAGGTGGTACTCTAACGAAAGAAATAAAACTGCTAAGTAATTAATTAAACTGTAGACTTCCTATAGGTTACATTATGTTAATTATCGGGTCGCCTGTTAAGTGTCATCATGTTACTTTTGCAAATCTAGCAAAAATTGTTCTGTAAACATATTTAATAATCTACTTATTTAGGTTGTATTACGCCGACAAGAAATCGATGAAATAAAATAAAAGCGGATTATAGGATTTCTGGGAATACAGATTAACCCCATTTGTTAGATTTCGTCACAAACCAACACCACCTAGAAACGTCAACAAAAATCAAATGGCTGATCCAGGAACTGAAGTTCCTGAGCTCGATTTCTGATGGATTCATCGGTGTACACTGATGAAAGATCCGAAAACACGATGAAACAGCTGTCCAGTGCTCACTGATTTTCAATTTTCTCTGCAACTGATGTTGGTTCGTATCGAAATCTAATAAATGAAAATAAAAGCAACTATTTTTTGCTTAATTAGATATCATAAAGAAGGATAAATGCGTGAATTCAGAAGTATATTTCTAATTCCTGAGTATTTCATACATTCGGTGCTGCCGATTAAGACTGATATATTATATGAGGTTAAACTCGTGGGAGAGGACGAAGTTAACCTGTTACTGAAATATTAACAGGTTGTTGATACCTTCTAAGCAAATATGTTTTGACTAGGCTAAAGATTATCAGAAAAATTAAGCGTTGCTTTAGTAACCCAAGGTGCGTTTGTCATTAGTTTGGTATCTTAAGAAATTCGATGCGTGACCTCAAACTTTCATTCTAGGTTAGGAACTTCATGACAATTTACTCCATGAAAGAGGTAATGGTTTTCATAAGTTAGTTTAGTGCTTTATAGCATCACCTGTTTATCTGTTTTTCAGCAGAGAGCATTCAATATTTTAACCACGAAGTAAAATTGAAACAACTGTACTTCTACAAGTTGCAGGAAAAGAATAGTGATTAGAAGCTAGGGATAATGAAGTGAAATTCCTTTCTGTACTGTATGCTTGAATGTACCACTAGTTGGCGCAATGAAGATAAAGCTATTCTGTAAATCAGGAGGGAAGCTGATATCTTGAAAGAACTGAGTGACTGTTGCATTCAGTGGACTTACACGCTCCTTTAGTTATACTGAGATATGTCTTATTGTGATATTATGAAAAGCATTGTCTACGAACTTATTCCACCAATCATCAGAAGTGAAGTGCTCCTAGAAACAATCTTAAGAAAATTTCCATATGATATTTCTTCATAAACCTAGAAATTCATAAAATCCTGTCCTTTCTAAATTTTACATTGATGACGATATTTTAGTTCATTGACTCCACTTACCTTTCTTTACTGAACAGTCATGCCCTATAAATTCAGGAAGACAGTTACAACTCCCAATATCAACTGAACAGACGGCATTGTTTTGACATGAGCAAAGTTTGGAACAGTTAGCCCCATATTGACCAGGTGGACATACTATAAAAGAAATAAACATTAAAAAGGTAATACTAATCGCAGTCATACATATTTTTTCCAGATATAACGGAAATTTGAGAACTATAATAGAGAGATTCATTCCTAATGAGAGCACAGAATATTACACCTATTTTCCAAATTTTATTTAGAATTCCCCTTGATATACCTACTTTTCCATTATCAAAATAATAGTATTGGCCAACATCTAACGTTCAATTACTTAAGCCTAATTATGATATTTGTTGCTACAGATTTTACAGCATCACATATTTCAGAGTGGTCAAATGAATAAAAACGATCAGTCTGGCTTTGGTTATCGTCTTAAAAGTTTTTAGATCAAGACTACCTCACAAATATTGCTTTCCTCAAGTTGCACAGTATAATAAAAGAACTGTTGCTGTTCTACAAACCAGTTTTTCAGGCCTTACTAGGTCAGCAGATAGGTTCAAGAAAGAAAACCACAGCAAAGAAAAAAAACGAATACATGTTATCAAGGTTATCAAGTTTCAAAGCAGATCCATAGATTAAGACCCATATTACGCAAGTCTGCAGTAATAAAAGAGTCTGTCATGACCATCTGATCTTGGGAAAACAGGCCTGCTATTTACCAGAATACAAATTCACTACACTACCTATGACGTATTAATTTAGCAGTAGAATTCTACTAGTCATCACAGAATTAGCGACTTGTTTAATACTTCATAGTGAAGTTACAATACCAGTCAGTAGATGTAAAGACCTGACTGTAATAAGTTACAATCTTATTATGTCCTTTTCATTATAAAATTATACCATTTTTCAGTAGTCTGGCAACAAAATAGGTCTTGCGTCATATGATTCCTTATAAGTGTACTAATAATGTGTGCACTAATATGTACTTCACCTCCCTGAATGGGATATAAACACAGGTCCTCCATCCCTAACTGAGGTTACTAAAGCTGTCACCAATCTGAAACTAGGCAAAGCAGCGGGACCTGATGGAATGACTCCAGAGGTATTTAAGTACGGTGGAGACAGCTTACTGTCCGGATTAACTGAGGTACTAGGCAGCGTCTGGGAATCAGAAGAAGTCCCATCGGGTTGGTGTAAGTCACTGATTATCCCCATATACAAGAAGGGAGACAAGTCTTCCTGTGATAATCACAGAGGGATTAGCTTGACTAATATAGTATCTAAAGTCTTAGGCTCAATAATCATGCGTAGACTGAGTGGTGCTCGGGAAGCACAAACACGAGAGAGCCAGGCAGGCTTTAGACCAGGAAGAGGGTGTATTGATCATATCTTCACCCTCCGACAGATTCTAGAACATAGGCATTCCTACCGGCGTCCAACAGTCATTATATTTCTTGACCTAAAGGCAGCATTCGACTCTGTCGATCGGGAAGTTCTCTGGAGATGCTTGGCTGTAAAGGGAATTCCAAGAAAATATATTGCACTGATTAAGGCACTCTACTCGTACTCATACAGCCAGGTGAGGGCTTACGGCGAGCTGTCATCTGAACTGATGACGACCAGTGGTGTCCGTCAAGGATGCCCATTATCTCCTTTTCTATTCAACTTCATCATAGATGTGTTAATGGACTTAACCCTAGGTGACTTCAGCGATTCAGGGATTGACTTGCTACCGGGAATAATCTCGTTGACTTGGAATATGCAGACGATATAGTCCTTCTAGGCGAAGACGCTGACAAAATGCAGAGTCTTCTAAACACCTTGAACAGCAATCTACGAATGTTTGGCATGCGATTCGCTCCCGCCAAATGCAAGATGATGTTACAGGACTGGACTACATCGACGCCTAGTTTAAAAATAGGAAGTGAAGTGGTAGAGCACGTTGACCGCTTCACTTATTTGGGAAGTACCATCAGCCCCAACGGGCTGATCTCTGACGAAATCTCAGCACGAATACAAGGGGCTCGTTTCGCATTTGTTAGTTTACGCCGACTCTGGCGTAGACGAGATGTTCGACTATCGACCAAAGGGCGGGTGTACTGCTCATCAGTCCGCTCCGTCCTCCTTTATGGTTGTGAGACCTGGCCACTGAGAGTGGAAGACATGAAAAGACTAGCTGTCTTTGATCATAGGTGCCTGCGTTCTATTTCCCGTGTAAAGTGGCATAATAAGGTGAGCAACATGGAGGTTAGGCGTAGAGTTCTAGGTAAACAGGGGAAATCAATCGACGAAGTCGTGAAGCTACATCGACTGAGATGGTTAGGACATGTGTTACGTATGCCAAGTCATCGCCTCCCTCGACGAGCTATGTTAGCGGATATAGGGTCAGGCTGGAAAAAAGCTAGCGGCGGTCAAACAAAAACTTGGCATCAGTCAATGAAATCCACAACAGTTGGTCTAAGCCACGTAGAAAGGTGTAGACTTCCAGGCTGGGGTCCTCGGGACGGTAAAAATCTATGGTTGGAAACAATTGGTGACATGGCTCAAAATCGTTCTCAGTGGCGCAGATGCATCCACTCCCTGTGACTTATGATCTTCAATGAAACTGTTTTGTATTTCTTTATTACTCCTTTGTCTCACACCTCTGCTCACTGTTTCTATTATGCTTTTCTTGTACTTTCTTCTCTTGCTTCGCGTGCTACACGGAATGTGGCGACTTGAACTTCCGCACATTTGTGCAAAGTTCTATGTCGAAAACAGACAGACAGACAGAATATGTACTTATATGAAAGGATTTCCAAAAGAAATGTGATTTTTATGAATTTTGTTTACCCTTCGGAGTGCGTCGGTGGTATAGCGGTTAAGACGCTCGCCGACCATGCATATGGTCCGGGGTTCAACCCCCGGCCGGCGCACTCCTTTACCTCACTGAGCCAGAAATAATACTGGTAAAGAGGAAAGGTTGGGCATGAGGCTAGCAACCCCATCCTGTAAAAATTAAACACTGCTACAGAAACTTCAAGCCACTAGCTTGGAGCCCTATGTTCCACTGGGAACGTGAAGGAAAAATTATTTTATTATTTATTCGGAATGTATTTTAATTATGTTTCTTCGGACACTTTATGTGAACACGGTTCCAGTTTTTTCATCAGCAATATCACGCAATGTTATTAAGTATTCACGTAAAATTCAAACGTTTTGTTGACCGATCTCCCAGCTCATTCAGTTAACGATTTCTGAGGCTTCAGTCACAAGGTAATGAATGGTATATATATATATATATATATATATATATATATATATATATATTGTATGGAGGATTTAATCATGAGCTGACATCAGTTAGAGAACCACTGATTAAATCCTCCATACAATCAAACCAAATCCCTACAAAACCAACATTTGAAAATATATATATATATATATGACTGAAAAACGTTTGACTATTCATTCTATGAATTCATAGTTTTACTGTAATAAGTAATCGGCAGCGAGAAGTAAACCTACGTTTTATGCTGGTGGAAATGCCGAATATTAACACCTGTGGCATAAGACTTTGATATTGTGGGTCTTGATCGGTGGATTAGCTTTGATACTGTTTACCAGCATGCTTTCATGACAAATACTGAAATGTTTAAACCTATATACACACTACTTCCTATTGGCCACTCTTAAATATTCAGTATCACATGTAAAATATTATGATGTCAGTTCACAGATTATGTGACCATGACAACTTCCACTATAATTAGGTCAACATTCATCATCATTTGAAGTGATATTACTTTCTGCCCTATTATTTTTCAAACATGTGAACATCGTGCAGTTTTAATGAGTCTAATGTATATATATATATACCTTTGCAATAAGAGAAATGTATGGAGATTCAGACCTTGTTACCACAGAAAAACATGAGCGCAACTTGGTTATAACATAAATAAACTTAGGAGAGCCTTGAGTTCCCTTGATCCATAAAGGATCAATGGTAAAGTATACGAGATTTGCATTGAGGGGTGAAGAAAGAAACATCAACCCAAGTTTTAAGCAACTTAGTGATATTACAGTTGAATGATCAGTACTAGTTTCTAGAAGACTAATGAATGCTGCAACGTATTTTGGTTTGAAGACAGGTGAGTTCCATGAGATGTGTAGCTTTACAATCGCATCCTTTGCTATGTGAACAACTAAAGATTTTTCTACAATCTAATAGTGACAAATGAAATTAGAATTTATCCTTAAACAAATACCGTCGTTCGAAATGTATATCCGTTATCATCGGATTAGTGTGTCAGACGGAGATTACTTCAGATATCCTAATCAGAAATTGGATTGGAATTATGAAATTAATATTTACATCGAAGAGTGATTACATGAAATCTCTTAGTAATATGATAAAATATTCAAATGACCTAAACTGAAAAAATAGAATTTATTTATATTAACTGTGTCTCTCTATCGAACTCCTGTTAGTTTATTTACAATGAATCATGATTCTTTTTTTACACCCGTCATTTTCTTAAGGGCATTCACATAAGCTACTGTGTTAACGTCTAATCTATGCATTATTTATACTGACATTAAAACTTGAATAAAACAATTTAACTGGTAATGTTATTGATAACAACATAAACGAATTATCTGAATGTTTATACTACCCACAATTAAAACAAAAAGCGTTATGCACGTATGCATGCATGAGAATTAAACTCTAGGTTAAGCACCAGGGTTAGCAGTTGTGACAACTGTAAAATTGTTAATAAGCAACGAAATGAAAATTGAGGGACAATGACATGTTTGATCACAACATTTATAATAGCTTGTATAATCTGACAACATATTAAATAACGGAATCATGCAAGCACAACAAACATGCATTCGTAAGTTCGGTGTGCAGTTTCTAAAAGTGTAGCAGTGTAGTAGATCATGCGTAACATTATTGTTTGACGGTGTTGGTCTAGATAAGTGAACTAAGAGAGGGCTAGAGCCGAAGAGCCACCAAGGTGAGTAGTTTCCTATTATTAATTAGGGTGTGTTGTCTTAACATAATATTTGGTTAATGGTACCTAACAAAGCTTCATTTCTTAAGCTACACATCTAATTTAAACATTTTTAATGAATACTATACTGTTCGCACGTGTTTACTCTGTTAAATAGTATGATTATTTGTGTAATTCATCTGATATAATTCGAATACTTCTTGTATCCAGAACAAAGCTAAGTAAAGCGCCATCACGAATTTCTTAATGTTTAAATGTGTAGCCTATGCCCTCATATTGAAATGAAGTGGTTTAGGCTTACTCGATGAAAGTGATTTCCGATGAGGTCTAGTGCCAAAGAGCTAATAGATCAGCTTGTATGCGGACCACACTGATTTGGCTACTGACAAAAATGGACTTTAGTGGCTAGTTTCAGACTACACATAACATGTGTCAGTATGTACTTTGAAGATTTTGTATGCTTGGACGTTTGAAATTGCTTATGATGTTAGGTAGATCAAAATTTCTGGTCTGAACATGTGTACAGTCTTCATTCTGTTACAGATGCCTTAGACTATATTTCAACTGTTTTAGAAGGTTGTTTCAAAATGCTTCTCTTGAAATTTTCAGTAGTAACTGAACTCGAAAAACATTACTTAGGTAGTGGAATAACTAACTCTTGACATATATGCGTTCAAAACAAGAATCATGCGTAACCATGCAAACATTTATAAGACACGTTGAAGTATTCGTTAAAAAATGTTGTGATCTCCCTGTCATATCCACCAAAATTCTTTTTCGTTGACCTTTGAAGTATGTGGAGATTGCTTACTACTGCCACACGTTTCTCCATGCTGGCCAAGTGGGCATAAACACTGTCCAGTTTCAAAATGACAATCTTCACAGTGTCGACAAGCTTGAGCGCACATTTCACCAAAATAACCACGAGGACAAACTGGTTCAAGAAAAAGACATAAAGAATAATAAAAAGAATTATTTCGTAAGTACACTTGAGATTTTTATGTTAACTCAAGTTGTTTGCTTAGACTGTTATCAGCTTAAAACAATTAATCTTCACAACTAATGAAGGATTTCATCAATACCTGATAGAGTTTCGGAGTTCTTCCGCACTAAATTTACCCGACGACATATTAATAAAAAAGTTAAAACAGTTGACATATGGATTGTTTACATAACAAAACTAACTAGGATACTCATAATCTCTACTTGAGTTTATTTCGATTTGAGTTTGATAAAGACATAAGGGAGGTATATTTTATAACCAGTCTTTATTAGATTTTGAAGTACATATAACCCGTTTATCTGTATAAGCTGATTCATTTTCTCAGGTTTAACTGACCGCGAAGTAGAAACCTACAAAAACGAATTTCGAAGAGAATCTTTGATACCAAAAGGCACTGTTCAATAGTCCTAAACCATGTCACCGTACATCAGAGCTACTTATCGTAAAATTCGAAATAGCAAAAGATCTTTTGCACTTCATAGTACTGCATAACTAATAAGATTATTAGATGGTTGGAGGCAATCGGCAAGAAGCCTACTGCCACTACAGTCCTACAGGAGGTTGATCGCGAGCCCGAATAGCTCAGCGGTAACGTCTCTGACTGCAGGACTGGATGAGGTAGGTTCGAATCTCAGAAGAAACATGAGCTGCTTCAAGGTTGCAGATACGCCCTGATGACGAGTGCCAACTAGCACGAAATCTAGGTCCAAGGCTTCCAGCCGATTGCCTCCAACAATCTAATATCATCAAAACAATGTGCGAGCTACCTAGAATGGTGGCCACATTGCAAACCTGACTGACAGAATTCGGTCTGCACCAAAGAAAGGACTGGACACATCACACTAGTTAGTAGTATCCAATCAAAATTATGAAATTAGCCCGATCATTAGACGCATTGATCCCGTATGTGTACACTGTTTTGGTTGTTTAGACCCCAAAACAGTCATCAATGTATTCGACTCAACTTGTGAATATTGTTCTTACCAAACTTGAGTTTTGGCTTTAGAGTTTTGCATTTCAGTCTGAACATCCTCTTTAATGCAACTTTACAGACAAGTATGGTGAAGTACTAAAGTTAACTGATATCAAAGGCTGAATGCAAGAAAACAGAGTGGCTAGAAGCAGCGAAACTGTTACGGTTAAGCATTTTTATCTACCCAGTTTTATATGATTTTCATATTAGCTTAAACCCCATAGGCATATAAGTAGATGAGGTCTAATTTCTTTTCATTAATAGGTTTTATCAATGGGAAAGTCACACACGAGAAGTTAGAACTGAATTACCAACGCTGATCTAAAGGTGAACTCGTCATAAATTAAGGATGTTTATAAAAATTGTAATCAATTCATGGTTCGGTTAAAAACAATAAAATCCACTTAGCAAGATTTGAATTCGTGCATTGTTCTATGGCATGTCTTGTTTACATGACAACAAACATAAGGCTCAAAATCGAATTTCAAAAGTCGATTCACCAACCAGCCAGCCAATTAAAACACAGTTTAGTTAATGTTCTAATATTTCATCTTAGCTATATGTGTGGTTCGAGGTACAAATATGCGTTTGTACATGACACATTTATTGGATGTGTGCGGTATTGATTAAACGACCATGCTATAAACTAATGGTATTATATTGAATTCAAGCCTTAAAAAACCATGAATTCATTGAACGAAAAAATATCACCAACGCGTAGGTGTTTCCATCGAAATTCATAATTGAAATATAATGAAAACCACCGATGTTAATTAAATTTCATCCTGGAAATCGATAAATGTATGTTAAATCTATTAAGTATATATACATATTTCAGGGCGATGAAACGAGCCAAGGTATCTGCATCCAACAGCAGATTATGCACCGGAAGTTTGTGATAACTGGTTCGGAAACTCAAATCTAGCACTAGTTCCTTCCAACTGTACTTTAATAATGAGTTTTAAATATTTCCCTGATGAATTATTTGGGTTTCGGGGGTCACATGTACTTCTCGTCAGTCTGTTGGTTTCTGTATCGATTTTAATCAGCTTTGTGTTACTACGTATGTGAGATTTCGAACCTGAGAGAATTTTTCAGAATAGTAAACAGCGTATTTAATTGTATTTTATAGGGTTTTTTCATTTCTTGTGTTCCGAGTGGAATACACCACTTCAAGATTTGAAGTTTCATTAGGGGTGTTGGACTTACACCCTACTTTCCTTCCTTTTTGGGTTTACTACCAGCTAGTAAAGCAGACGAGGCATAGAGAAGTGTCGGCCATGAGTTGGACCTTGACCTCCCACCTGGATGGCGAACACTGTACCACTGAACCATACACCCACCAATTTGATAGTCACTCACTGCTAAATTTACCTTTAAAAATTCCGATCACTCAATCGACCATACAGTTATACTTGAAATCCACATCCGTATGGTCCAGAGCAGACTTCAGAATAATTGGTTCGAAGAACTAGTGATTTTACATGTATCTGTTCGGCATTAGAAAAGGACAGTTTGATTCATTCATATTCTGATCAGTTTTTCCAACCATCAGTTAGTCAAATCTAAACACTGTGATTTAAATGATATATTTTATTCGTATAGAAGTGATATGAATTAGATAGTATTGTAGTGAGAGCTAGCTGCAAGCCAAATATTGTAGACAGCAATTTACGCCAATGTTACGTCCCGAATCGGGGCATGAGTAAAAACAAGAATAAAGTTTAACCTTGAGGAACTCAACAACCAATGACAGCAGACTTAGCGTGTGCAAATACGATTCGTAGATATATGGCCCAACTTTCTAAGAAGCAGCCACAGGCATTACAGAATAACCCTCAGCAAGAAAAAAACCAACCAGAAGACGTTGCCTCTCTGCTAACAATAAAGCTAATAATAGTGTGCATAAAAATCTATCAATATCTCTTGATTTTCTCAATTAACGATCTGTTGCCTGCCCCTTGTCTTCTGTCCTTTCAGTATCTTACTGATTGTGTGAATTCTCTTTATTGTTTATTGTCTTAGTGCACTGGATAACGTTTTCTTATATACTTTGACAACGTAAGGAAACTTCAAACAATTATTTTACTTTACCTCTGTTTACTATGAACGAAAGGTGAACAAATTGCATTAGAGATAAACCCTGTGTTCACATTCAAGAGATAAGCTTTTTAACATAAAGATAAACTGGGCTGTAACGAAAATCTGGTTTGTAACAGAACTCCAGATAAGGGATTTTCGATTATCAACAAAACTTTCTTAGGAATGAATTGTGAGTCATACTTCGAAAATGTAATCAAAAGTAACGCTTAAATTCCTGAACTTAATTTAGCTGTCTAAAGTAGAAATTGGAAAAGCCTATTTTTGTCAGCTCACCTTCTTCACAGCGTTCACCAGTGTATCCTGGTTTACATCTGCACCTACCAGATTTAGGGTCACATCCAGATGGTTGTGAATTATAACAATCACACACAGAAGCACATCCTATTCCCCACCTTCCAGGTGGACATGTATGCTGACATAAGGGTCCATAAAATCCTGGGCGACACTGGCAATTACCAGTGATTGGAGAACATGTTGCTCCATTCTGACATGTACATACCTATATTTTTCAGGAAAAGAATACTTTATAAGTGAATTTATCTGGAGTATAGATTAGTAAATAGGTTAAGGATGATTACACATATAACACTACCACTGCTGCCACTAATGTTATTATTACCATTAGTATCATTGATGATGACTATGATAGTGTTCGTCGTATTATGAATAGCCCAGTGGTAATGTATCTGGTTACAGTATAAGATGGCATGTGTTCAACTGTTTGTTTCCACATCAAATTCTACCAGTCTTCCTGTAGAGGGATAACAGAAACAAAAGCCAAGTCAAACTACACCTTCGGTTAATTTCTTTCAACCATTCGAAAGTGTAGAGTTCCTTAGACTAATTATCGTTTACTGTAGATCTCTACTTCGGTCCTAGTTTTGGTAACCGGTGCACAATACTGAAGAGCCCCAGATCACGGCGAAGTGTTCTTCAGTACTTCCCGGTTTCAACTGATTATCTGACTGATTTCAAAGTTTACTTTGAAAAAAATGATAAAATCTGGGTTTTGAATGATGCTTGTTTCTCATGTGCTCGTGTTCACTGAGACTGGTAGTGTAACTGTGAAGCTTTCATTACCTTTCTAGACAACATCTTCAGCGCAAAATTCATTTTGAAGTTACTTCGATATACTTAAGAGATGATGATTAAATAAAATCTGACATTCTATACCAGAGTGTTGGCTTATTGTTGTCTGTTGATATGATTATGAACAATAAATTGTGTTCGAAACGTCATCCAGTATACAATACTGTTTCACTGTGTGATACATTTAATAATCAAACTAATATGGAATTATTGTTATCTCTTTATCCGTGTAAAACGGTTAACCTAGTGATACTGATTTGTGGTTAGTTTTTGATTCATCTATAGTGATCAGTGAAATCTAGACGAATCGCATCATGTCTGAAATTGATAATCAATCGGAATCCGAAAATTAGAATCAAAATATTTAAATTCACTTCCAGTTAATGATCGCTGCATATCTGGATGAAGAATTCAAATGTATTGACTTACTGAATCAGCTGGGTGTTATATTCCTGCGTAAATTGCATAAGTTTTTCTTTCTGGTTCCACTTGGATGCCAAGAGGAACATAGGACTTCAAGCTTCACCTATGAGGTTTCAGTAGCAGTGGTGTTTCTATGGAATGGAGTTGCTAGTTTCACGCCCAATCTTCCTTCTTGGTTTGGCTAGAGCAGACTCAGGGAGGCAAAGGTGTGTGCCTACCAGGAATGGAATCCTGGACCACAAGCATAGTTGGAGAGCATTCCACCAATGAACCAAATCGATACCGAATGTTTTACTCTTTCTGTTAACGAAGCTGGTCATCGAATGATAGGTGTATGATAAAGACAGTTTAATTACCAAACTCCAAATGCGTATTGAAACAGCAGTTCCCGTTTGTTGATGACATTCAATAAACTCTAAACTGAAACCCACTGCTTCCTGTTGATTTCCTCAAAACACTGAACATCAATTCAAAGTGCACTCTGATAACAAATCTTTTATCTTGACGCGAAAAATACAATCAGTACTAAGGGCTAGTCAGTACATGCTACAGTTATGTAGCAACAAGTCAAAATGCTTGACCAATTTCTCAAACCAACTACAGTTTTGAAAAGACGGGTGCATTACAAAGTCAATTCCTTTGGTTTAAAGGTAGAATCTCATAATGTTCAACGAAGTGAAGCTGTAAGAAAAATGAATGTACTGATATATCAGCTCATTAAAAATGACTTTACAACTTTATAACTTATCATATGAGCTGTTGTAGTACTTAGGTGGTGCGAAATCATGTGACTTTAAAATGCACTAAACTGAAGTGAAATGAGCTGTTGTGTTGTTCTAATTATATATAGTATTTTCTTTTTATATTTTACACATATTATGTTGAAAGTTTCGCTTACTTGTGCGCAGTCAGGTCCAAATCGATCTTTCGGACATGGTGTACTACAGTCTTTTCCTTCTGTACCAGGAGGACAAGGACATTGCCCAGTTTGTGGATGACAAGTAGGAGTATTTTGGTTTCTGTCTAAACGCCTCACATTAACTATCTTTGTGTTCCTTAAGACATCTGACTGGTAATGGGAAAGATAAAGTGGACTGTCTTGGCTAAATGAAGACTCAGGAAGCAGCAGGCTATCTTCAGCATTTGGATTTGGTACTTGGGTATGGCATACAGGACAAGTCAGTGAACATTGTGGTCCATATGTGCCCGGATGACAAGCTTAATTTTGTTTTGAAAATATAATTGTTTAACACAAAGTGATTATCAGTTACATATTTAGGAATTAAAATTGTAGAATATTGGAACTTTCATACGTATTTTTGTGACATAACACCGAATTACACTATCACAGTTTCTCAAGTAAAATTTGAGAAGTAAGAATCGTTCATTTGTTTTTTAAGCTTACGAATTCTGTACACACAGACTCGATAACTGATCATCTCGAATCGGGACTTAAAATGGCTACTGAATTATTACTTGTCATTATTCGTTCATCGTGTTCAGAGTATAACACAGGACTTCTGAAGTACTTCTCTGTCCCAGTAGACCCTCTGTTATCACGTTTGATTTTCTAAATAGCGCTATGACTGCCTAGAAGCCTCGATTTCCTCTCAGCACGTTCTCCTCCACGTCACTGTCGGACGTTAAACAAAACAGAATTATTCAACCACTTCTACTATCCCAGTGACGACCCTCTTGTTTTCTACTAATTTGACTTTTTGTTTTTTAAACGCTTCTTCATGCCCCTTGAATTTCTTCTGGACTCTTATGTAATGTTAAATTTGCCTTCGCTTCTATATGCATCTTGATTACAACTCAGTCATCAAAATTATTTGTCTCATTATGCAACTCCAACACATTTATTTAACCCCTCATGTGTATTCGTTAGTATTAACGGCTATGCTTATGATAACTCATCACTTTTGATATTATCCTCTTTTGTGAAAAAACGGTACATAAATGCAATTTTACACTTAATGAAAATAAATTCGCTGAAAAGTGCCCTTTCGCTGAACTACTTATTATGTTTAATTTTCAGTTGACAATTTGAAGAGTCCACTTCCGTTCCATCTGCTTTGAGAGATTTCTAACACTTCTGTACTTTCGAAGACAATTCTAAGTAATTCTGTCAATTATATCATCCCTATTACTCAGTAATGCACTACTATACATTCTCATTAAATATAAATACGACTTTACAGCCTCTGAAGATGATTTCGTCGACAAAGAAAATTCTCTTCTCTGAATTGTCTTTAATTTTCTTCATGACTCAATGGGTATTTTCAGTGATCCGTACTATATCTTCTTATTTTCTGTGCAGTCGCAGCATTCCATTCCTCTGTGCTTACTTTTGCTTTGATCGAAGGAAGACCTGTCAGTTGACTGACTTTCTTAGAGCTTTCACCAGCTGACTTCTTTCATCATTCCTGATTCCAGTGAAGAATAAGTTCACTTCATCTATGGTTCTTATAGTTTGAATTTTTCAGAGCCCCTGTGTTGTTTTTCTGCGGTTGGTCTGGCAGCTAGGAGACTGTGCGAGGATAACTACTGAATAAGTAAAACTATTATAATACATGTGCGTTTTGTGGGAAGAGTTGTACCAAACTCCGAATGATTCATATGCAATAAAATCAGGTTACATACAGTGGCATTTAGTTTAGTTTATTTTTATTACAAATCACTTAATAAAGCGCCAGTTAATGTGGAGCTGCGATTGTACCAGATTTAAGAGTTATGCACTATGACCCAGTTCAGTAATTCAAAGTAAGTATCTTTCTTCCTACAATATAGTGCACAAAAAATCTGTTAATAATCTCAATAGCTACAATAAACATGGTTGTTGACTTCTAGTAAACACTCTTAAAATTGTTCCGTGACTAGTCTTCTTTCAAGTGAACAACATTCATTGTTTGGATAAGACTATTACAACATTCAGCTATCTATTCTTCTATCATAAAATATGGACAGATTCTAAAATACCATCCCAGATTATGGAAGTGCAAAATGCTATGAAAGTAAGGACACATTTAGCACTGCACTTTTACTACTTTTAGTATAACAGTGAAACCTTTCTCAATAAAATCTTTGGCTTGAAGAACAACTCGATTTTCTGAACCATTCACTGTAATAATTAAGTAGGAAGCAAACTGCTTTTATTAAGTGTCATTAAAAGGGTAAGTGTGGGAAATCATCCTTTTTAAGTCATCCTTAATCGAGTTTTCGTGTATTCCGAAACTATAGCAGAAACTTTGAAGAACTAATCAGAATTAAGAAGTAGTAAAAGTCGCAAAACTGTTAAAAAGATAACTCTAAGTTATGGGTTTATGATTCGATTCTTTAATCTACTCACGAAATCCCAATCCTCCCAAAAGATCAGTCATCACGTCAAGCTTCCTTCTCATAGGCATGTATAAATAAATCCAGTCAGTCCATTATTCACACAGTATTCAAAGGGTCGATCTTATGGAATTCGCCAAGGCACAGTTCAATTCAGCTTGACTATCTATAATTATAGTTAGTTTTCGGAGGTCATGTATCTGAGTGGCTCCCATAATTGAGCTTCTCCATGTTATATTAAGAGTAGGGATTCCATTCTGATGAATATTAACAAGCAGTAAACCATGATCCCAATTGTCCTAATAACTTCACTTAACTTCGATTAGCTAAAGAAAGTGTTTTCACTTGGGGAGTTATTAAACTTACTTTGTTCACATCTTCTGCCATAATAACCAGCTGCACAGTAACATTCACCAGTAATTTCATTACACGCCTCACCATGTATACACTCACAGCGTAGTTTACACTTGAAACCATAAAATCCAGGCGGACAGTTTAGCTGACAACGTTCACCATAGTAGCCTATATGTGCAAGAAGATAAATTGTGAAATCAACTGCATGATCTTGTGACAAAGTGTCTATAAATTTGTTTCAGATTAAAAAAGTTTAAAAAAAACTTAATGTTGAAGCTTTTCGATAAATAATATATATTCCCATATCCATAAAACTGTTAGTACTCAAACAATAAGGTTTTACTGGGACATTTATTGAATCTGACAATACTAACTACTATGAGCAGGTGGATACAACTCAAATAATATCCAGGTGATCTAGATACCAGCTGTACATTTTGCATGCATTTGCATCGGTACGAAAACTGATTGTCTACCACTCCATAGTTTAATTAAATTCCATTCGATTCTGTCTATTATATTACTGTTTCTCATATAACTAAAAGTTTCCTTTTGATGGTTAATGTATGCTAACAGTAATGCATTTATAACTGCAGAACATGAAGAGGAGACTGTCCAAATACATGTTCACTCCAGTCATTCTTAATTTAAATATATGATGGAAATTTTTTTATTAAATCACGTTGTAAACAAATGAATACCCTGAGTTCCACTGTTTAACATATATATATATATATATATCTATATATATATATATATCTATATATGCATATATATATGTATAGTATGTCGGTATTAATATTATTAATTATTTAGGAAAAAACACAATTGTAAGAAGTAGCTAAATGGTATTTAAACGTTGGACATGAAAATCCTTAAAGTTGTCGCTAATTTTACTACTGATTCGCTATTATTTGTCATTGTGACAAAAAGGTGTGGTGGAAATGACTCATTCTACCAAGAAATCTCTCTTGAATACACGTCTCGATTAGCGTAAAAAAATCTACTAGCAATTTACGAAACTCAGAGAGCTACAAAAACTATTTATATACGTAGTCTTAGCTGCAAATATTCATAATCATATTAGTTGAATTGTTTTTTTTAATGAAATCTGTGAGCATTTGTATAAATTCTTCCAGTTAACTTGATTTACGAATTCCTCTCTATTAACTATGGTTTTTATAATGCCTTCCAGGTACACGTTTTCCGTATTGTTTGAAAGTCTTCTTCTACCTCGCTTACAAAATCCGGTGTTCCACAAGGTGCTGTCCTCTCTCCTTTTCTTTTTTCTTTCTTCCTACATGACCTGCCTCATTCAAACGAAACTAACTTTGTTAAATATGCAGATGATCTGACTGTATCACTGCCTATCACTTCCGAGTCTGACAGCTCCAAACTTAATAGCTTTCTGTTGGACATCAACAACTGGTCCAAGTCAAATGGTCTTATATTAAATCCTTCCAAATGTCAGGTGCTTGACTTTACTTTCAAGCATCGACGTGACTTACTTGAACTAGTTAACTCTCATGATCCCTGTAGCATAGATGGCACGGAAATTGAAACCAAATCAAGTATTAAATACCTTGGACTAGTTTTTTCCTCTGACCTTTCATGGTCATCCCATATCTTATCTATCTCTAAGAAAATGTTTCGTCTTACCTTCTACATTAAAAAGTTAAGACAATCAGGTATCAACCAACCTTTAGTTTTGCAATTTTTAAACTCCTGTATTTTACCTATTGTACTCTACTGCTCTCCATTAATCTTTCCTGGGCTGCTCAAAAAAGATTATATCATATTACGAAGAGTATTAAATGCTGTGAGTAGAGCTTGTGGTCTGCCACTGCATGAGCTCGCTAATACTATAGTCGAGAGGCATATAAATTCCTGTACGAAATGGGCAAAGGCTATAATGTCAGACCCTCTGCACCCCCTTTATTCACACCTGTCCCCTTGTATCTCATCAGGTAGGACGAGAAGTCAATATAAAAAGATATATGCTCGTACTACTAAGTATAGAAATTCTACAATACCCTATTTAGCGCGTACTTTATGTGACGAAGACTCTGTTAGACGTGAAACTTACAAGTTACTATGTAATTAGCACAGTGAATCGACCCTTTTATCGTTCATCTTTCTGTATTTTATGGTGTCACACTTTCTATCGTTTAAATCGTTACTCTGCTATTTTATATTAGTTGGTATTACTATTATTACTACAATTTTGTACTTTATACATATTTTTCTCCGTATGGCACACAGTATTTTGCTACGTAGCTGCTACAACAATCGTTTTATTACTATTATGTAATGTGTATTTTTAATTTTTTTTGTCGTTTTTGAGTAAATTAGATGCAATATTGTACTGAATGCTGAAAATTCCTTGCTGTATCATGAGTACTGTTTTTGGAATAAAGCTATTATTATTATTATTATTAAGATGAACACATTTTCAACTTTCACTGTCCGGAGTGATTACGTTGGATGACAACGGTGTATTGTTGCTTATGAGGTTGACTAATTTCAGAGACGATTGATATGCTTTTGTGATGGACGCAATTTTTTATTATTAATAATCGGCTTCAAAAGAAAACTAGTTTAACGCATGCTGTTGTACCGCCTTAATTTATGGTCGCATTTGATTACTGATTATTAAATGGTTATGTTGAAGTAAGTGAATATTTACCAGCTTGACAAATACATGTTCCGTTGTCTGGATGACATGCACCGTTATTTTCACATTTGCATTCGTGCTGACAGTTCGTACCAAAGTAACCAGGTGGACATGCTGCGCAGAGAAAGGAAAAAGGAGAAAAGGAAGAGATTATGAAAATTTGGAAATCTACATCTTTTTGTTCTGGCAAACGTTTTCTAAATTGATTCAGTTGAATATAATATTGTCAGTAGACAGTTAAAATAAATTAAAGAGAATATTCAGAAACAAATTCTGATGACTGACTAATTAGTTAGATCATACTTTAAGTATATCAAGAAAGAGTTGTTTAAACTCGGTGTGTTTATTAAATTTTATGTAAATGTACCTTACTGTCACTTGTCTTCAATCAAGCATTTTTCACCTAGTTATGGAATTTATGAACATCCTTACGGTAATTATCATTATTATTGCTATCATTATTATTCGCATTCACTTTCAAGTATTATTTTGTAGAGATTTAACTGGTTTAACGTTCGATCACCAACTGAAATCATCTGGGGACCATTATAGACCAAGAGAGTGCTGAACGACCGTTTCACCTCTGTCTGAAAACCTATAGCAGTACGCACTCATGATCTAGTTGGGTGCTGAACCCAGAATCTTTGGGTTACAAGGAGAGCTCCTTGACCATTCTGCCACTGAAATGGAATCCACTGACTTCTGATTTCCACCTTATGTAAACTGACGATAGACGGCCTCGTAGCTAAATAATGTTATCGGTGGGTATCTGTTCTCACACCCGACTAGATGGACCCCACTAGTTACAACTTCCCATTAGAGCTCTAAGGGACTTCGTCCTGTAGTCAATCATCACTGAGCATCAGATTAACTTTCGAGTGTTAGTTTGCAGAGATGGGTTTAGTTAAACACTAGCCAATGACAGTGGCTGGCAGTGGAATTAGAATCGCCGGTTGATAGGAGTTAGAATTCATGAACCAGTGGATAACTTATCAGTGTCTGAATAGTCAACGAGCTCACCTCGTAATATGAAGGTTTTGGATTCGACCGTCAGTGTGATCGTAGATAAGTACTGCCGAGGAGCCTCAAACTAGGACGAATCAACTGTCCACTACTCCATGGCCTCCAAAGATTAATGGGACTGTAGAACTTGAGCACTGTAGTAGATAAGTTTATTTTAAATATCACACAGTAATGCGGTATTAACAACTGGATGACAAGGTTTCGAGTATAAATTATTGCTCATAGTCATATCAATTTAGTCGCACGTTTTCACAGTTTGTCTAATATATATATATATATATATATATATATATAAATTTTGACTAAAACTGATATGATTATGAACAATAATTTATTCTCGAAACCTTGTCATCCAGTTGTTAATACTGCATCACTGTGCGATATTTAAAATAAACCTATCTAACAAGCAGTTTCCAAAGATTGTCTAACTAATATTTACCTTCGTTAATATTCAGGTATAATGGGTGAAATCCAGCTAGAGTCAGAGTTGCGACTGTCGAACATCCTGTCTGTATATTCTGCTCTCTGTAGTGATTGATACATGGATGTATAGAAACATGGACAGACGTGCTAATTTATGTCTTTGTTATTAGTGTTATACACAGAGAGTGTATACACCAACGATAACCCTAAAATTATCAAATTCTACAGATAAAAATTCTACTTAATTTGTAATAAATACCTCAGGTAATTTTTAATACTTGTGTCAATAACGATGTGAACATTTTCACTCAGTTCTACAGATTACTCACTAAGCACCAGTTTAGAAGCCTAAAAGATATATTGTTTCTAGCTGTATAATAATTATTCCAACTGTGTCATTCATGTCGAAATAGCATGCACATAACTTAAGAGAAGGGATCACAATATTATTTGAAAAATACCGCACTGAAAGCATTGTCTAATAGGTTGAAGAGGTTTTGCATCATGGCAAATTCCTGTCACTTTTGACATAAGAAATTCTGTCTTTCATAGCAATGGTCTTTTCATAAAAAAATATTTGTTTTTACTGTCTCTGACTTCATTAGAACAAAATCTAAACAATCTGGATGTCATAATACTAGGCACCCTGCATTTTGGATTATCAGCAAGTGTGTCAGCTTCTCATCAACAGACTTAGGGCACTGCAAACTGTTAAGTAAGAACTTCTAAGTGATGTATATTCTTCAATTACAGAACCTCCATATCCACCTGAGTCTTGGTTATTCAGCTTGGTACTTGACTTTAAGAGGACTAGTCTGAAAGGAAATGTTTGCTATCTCGCACAGTAGGTAACGCCTTTATTAGCAACACTTTTCTACTTTCCCTCAACAGCATAGGCTATGTTTCTCGGATGATGCTGACTGACGTTCAGGTACACTTTTTTGTCGTCAATTTGTCCTTCACTTTCAGAAGTGCAAACAACCATTTCGTTTAGCCAGATATTATTTGATACAACCGGTTCCCTTTATTAGTTTGAACAAAGAAAGAACGAACATATCGAACGAATATCAACTCGTTTTATTTTGCTCTTTCTTTGTTCAAACTATTATTTGGTGAAATGAATATACTGTTTCACATACGAATTCCCCCCTAATGAATTCAAGCAAATAAATAACAAGGCATAGAAGAAGATAAAAATGGATTCATTTCATTTCGTTGCTATCTTATGAACTGCTTTTGATGTGGTTGTGTTCTCTGAGCTGGATGGTTAATTTGCAAAGCTTTCATCACCCTACTAGGTGACATCTTCAGCGCATACTTCAATTTGAAGTGCGCTTTTAGATTTCTCCACGATTTTATTAATCATTTCTCCTGGTGACATTGTACGTGATTGGTGATCACGTCCAAGGTATGCACTGAAGGTGTCACCTAGTAGGGTGATGAAAGCTTCGCAAATTAACCCTCCAGCTCAGAGAACACAACCACATCAAAATCATCCACCTGAGCTGCAAATCTCCTCTATCATATCTATGAACTGCTTATCACTAGAATAGAAAGATTTAGTACTTTTATTACATTTCTGACATCTTATTTCAAGGGAGATAAAATGCTGAACAATACATAAGAACTATCATGGTATAAGGATAAATCAAAATGTTAGGTTGGTAAAATATAAAAATATTGCTACTGTTACTGTATAAAATGCGGTCGAAGTTTATCGAATAAAATAAAAAGTGGGGAGCAAGGATAGCAACAGGATAAAGAGGTACATAGGTGATAAGATTGCCTAAGTCACTCGAAAATTTCTAACAGCCAAGTGAAATATGAAAACAAAATAGTGTTGCCTAAGCTCATTTTTTTTGTTTTATTTAAGAAACTTTAATCATATTACATATATAAGTAATGTAATCTATTATTGGTTTCGTTAGAATGTGTCCATTAACGTGTCCTTGCCATTGTGACTTGGTCAGTCTTAATTGATCACATTGTACGCTTGCCTGAAAATTTTCCATAAAGACTTAGTATCACATGTTTACATTGCTGATTATATGGCAACTTATCCACTTAATGTACCTCGTACATTTCTATTTTCATAGTTTATGTGCATCATTTTTCTAAGTGTTATTGACTAATACTAGGGTTAGAATGGTACTTATTTCTTCTCATAGTTCCCTGAAAAATCCCTTTTGAAAAGAATAGTATCTTCAAGTGTGTAATCATGTACACAAAGATTTCTCATGTGACTGTCTTCAGTACTTAACAATGAATATTGCTGCATGGAAAAAAACCTATTACGAATGGTTCTACTCATTGTGCACACTTAATTGTTGATCAACTGGAAAAAAGCATTCAGAAGTCATTATTCTCATAATTTCACACATAATATTCACTTATGTAGAAAGAAATTTCAAGAAATTGTGCACTGAACATTAGTGTACTTAGTTATTGTTTTGACGTAACTATTTCTTCAGCTCGATTTGTAAATATTAACGCAGTAATGAACAGAAGTGCATTTAGAATCAATCTATCCAATGATCAATGGAATTTTAAATGATTTCTAAGTTTATTATGTTTGCAGTGTTTGTTATAACTGCGAGTTGTCTGTGAAAAAGAAATCACTATGGTTTAGGCAGATGAATCTTTCAATGTCCGTACACTAAAATACAGATATTTAACACAATTGCCTATGAAAACGATACAGTTTCAGTTCCTTTCGTTTATTTGCTCGACAAACAAGAATGATTGTTGGAGTTATTTAGGATGTTTTCAATCTCAGACACTGTTATTATCATCTGACTTACCAAATTCTTAACTGTTTATAGTCTTGTAAGGTCACCTTTAGGCCAATAATCATTTTGACCTTGACCACGTAGCATTATAGTCGACTGAACAAAACCAATAGTGTATTTTGATGATTGAAGTGGTTCTTATTAAGAACCTACACCATTTAAGGAGTAAGTGTAAATCATAGATACGACACAGTTTTTAAATTGAATACTATTTCTCTATGATACTTGATTACTGAGTTCATCTTAACTTTATTTCAACTAGCATGCATGTTTTGCGTCCATAATTACTAAATTAGGTGTCCATTTTGTCAACATCAGTTTAGCCAACCATAAAAGAGACTAAAGGAACTACATTTGTGAAAACAACCCAGCTCAGTGCATAAAAAATTCTGGGAATACCTTTTGACTGATTATTTGAATTATTTAGTATGTAAGCCAAGTAAATATGGATTTAAAAAGTATGAGTCCACCAGAATTTTGAAATTAGACGTTTAAGAGATGTTCTGTTCCTCAGTATGGCTATTTCCAAGTTTTTGAATCGCTGAGTATTAAGACATAATAAGTATTACAAGGTTGTTGTTCCACAAAATCTGTATTAGAATGGATTATATTTTGTTCAGCTGCGTATTTTTATAATACTTTAATAAAATTTACAACGCTTAAACTTAATTATAATTCTGTGTGTATTATACAGAGAACAATATTCTTTTTAATTTATATCTCATGGCCATTTTTCAAAATCTTATTAGGTTCCTCTCCATATACTCTCTACGGGAAAATATAAAAGACTTATAATAAATCAACTGAAAGATCTCATAAAAATGATGGATAAAAACAATATGATTTACAAAATATCTTGTGCTGAGTGTCCGACTAAATATGTGGCGCAAACGTCCAGATCACTCAAAATAAGATTTGATAGTGTGAAATATTCCCATATTATGAATTAAAAGTCAATCTGAACGAAGAATATTCTTTTCAGTAATTTCTCTTCAGGTTCTTACAATTATAAAATAGAATATTTGTTACCGTTATAATAATGGCCAGTTTTATGCTGCGGATACATTTTTAACGTAGAATAACAGATTAGTTATGGGGTGTCAAAATAAATAGTCATACTTGTGTGACAAACGTGCTAGGCTCATAATAGATTTGTAGAATGTGGGGATTAATCACCACCATTGTCTCCCGTTTTACAATATTTTGGTAATCGATTTCAGCCCAAAGCACGTTTGTCACACAAATATGACTATTTATTTTGACACCCCATAACTAATCTGTTATTCTACGTTAAAAATGCATCCACCGCATAACTGGCCTTTATTGTAACGACCACAAATATTATATTTTTATAATTGTAAGAACCTGAAGAGAAATCATTGAAAAGAATATTCATCGTTCAGATTGACTTTTAATTCATAAACGCCTAACTAAAGGTCAACCAAACAGAAACACAAGCTTACAAGAATTTAGAAAAAACTTATCTGTAGCTGCACATGCATGGGACAAAAACCACAATATCGACTGGAACAATGTACTCTAAAAAACTAATATGAACAAATAGAAAGAGATACTTATAACAGAATCTATATTCATTAAGGTCACACCGGGTAGATGTAACAAGGGCGACTCAGTACAACTGTCTACAACCTGGAATAAAATTCTGAATACACAAAAATGACTGAACAAAAAAAGAACTATGTTTATGAGCACAAATCATAAATGTGTGAATTAAAAACCAAAACAATTCCAACACGGGCAGTAATGTTGCTCGTAATATTACCAAGAACAAAACTTATCATTGTGTGTAAACTATTGAAATATAATTATACTTTATTTGATCTATTCCACAATGCTCAAACTTTTTACTGACTTTAATAAAACTTACTGCTTATACAATTAGGACCTTGCCAACCTGGACGACAGTAACAAATTCCATACACTGGATCGCATAACATATTATTATTCTTTAGATGGCAATCACATATCTGCTGGCAGTCTTCACCCCAACGTCCTTCGGGACATGTATCTTCACACTGTGGTCCATACTTTCCTGTTGGACAACTACACTGACCAGTTTCATGATGACATGGTTGTCCAGATGGGCAAGAACATCTAAATGTTTAGTAAATTAAAGTTTTTATTGAAATTTTATAATAAGAATAGAATTTGGGCACTGTAGTAGAGTATAATTCCATAATGGAACAACTTAGTAAAACCCATAGTGATATAGTATTACCTATTCACTGATGACGATTTGAGCACAGTTTACTGTTCATGATCATACCATACTTTCTCACGTATTCATTTTGTGGTTGATTACTCAGAAATAATCAATAAGTTTGGGATTCTTTAGTAAACTTGTATTCGGAAGACCTAGTTTTATACTTAATTTCTGCATACATCAATTTAGTAACTGGAAAACAACCAAAAGAAATAAGAAATATTTCCTTGTTATACTTAGATCTTCATCAATGGCTCTACACTAATTTAAGAAACATGATTTACCAATATAATGGTGTTAGGTTTGTTAACAATAATTCGTCGGTGTCAACATGCCAAACGAGTAATAACTGACCAAGATGATCGGAGCAAAAATTAAACAGTAGAAATAGCTTTGAACAAGTGGAGGAACACTGCAAACCAAAAACAGTGGGAAAGTATATCTTCCTAATTTGCGACTCTCCAACAGTGCGAACCTACGAATAACTAACAAACATCGTCTCCTTATGAAAAGAGCACCTTAACATCAACTGAATCATAGAAATTTTGGTGTTCTCCAGTGACCTAATTGAAGTTTAATTCTTAGAAATTCTAATGAAAAGCCGTAAGTGTAGAGAGTGCAGACAGTTATTCGTCGATCACAATAGATAGTAGGTGTTCCACATCGGCATTTAAAACTGTAGGATTATGGTGAATGGTACCACATTCATATGCTTAAATTTACTGCAACATACTTTCTACGTCACAGAATGTTTTGTGATTTAATTTAAAAATACTTTATGACGTTGCTGCAGTTTTCCTAAGAGAAAGTTGACACCACTTTTTAAGTTGGAAAGTAGTGAGAAAATTTATTCACATTTTAATGAAGTCATACCTAAAGAAGGAAGATAAACAATCTTTTGTTGGGTATACATTTGAGAACCTTTATGACGTAGTATAAATCTGCGGCTAAAAGTGTCTATTCTATGTAGTCATTTTGTAATAGCATAGACTGAGAATTGCTCATAAGAACTAAGTGAACAACGTTGTAAGCTGAGCAATACATCCGCTTACATTAAATTCATCATGAATGAAGCAATACGTTTGATTCACATTTTGAAACTTTAGGAGATTTATACTTGATAGTGTTCTTTGGATTGTCAATTGGTTGGGATAAACTAAACTGTCATTTTATTACACATAGAAAAAATTTTCAAAAATAAATTACATTGGTTCTGAAACAGAATAGTGTTACGTAGAAAAAAGCATGAAATTCAGCTGAGATATCTTTTGGGCTATTTCATGCCTAAAAAGATGTATTATTATTCATATTCATCCTACACCACTTCTGGAAATTTTCATATAAAGTTGAAGACTGTCTCCTTTGTTATCTCTTCTTATCATTTTTAGTGAGTAGTAATCGTAACTATACAAACTCATATATAAATATGTGATCGTAAATATTTTGAGGACGAAATCGCCGAGAAAAATCCTAGTTGAACATTTTGTTTTTCACCCTATTGTCGTGGCAGACATTTTCCACAATGTGTTAGTGTTAATTGAAGGATTGTTATAGCCTTCTAAATTCCTTTTGAAAGTTGATCTGAATCAATAAAGACCTAATCAAGGGGACTGAGTGTATGAATTGTTTGTTTTATGAAATTGTGTGAATTACGTCAACCAATTTAGCCGTCTAAATTTACTTTCTGAAATGGAAGTCATGGTCAAAATTTGCGGTATAGCTTAGATATACTCGAGCATGTATACAATAAGATGCAAAGTATGATGCAAACGACTCAGTGTCAGTTTCGGATGTCTAATAGTGAATTTCATTACCTACTCAACACTTGTAAAGAAACAGCTTTAACCATAGAAATTTCCTCGAAACTACATACATTAGGTTCTTACGTCTCATTATCTCATTTATCTTGAAAGAGAATTACTATGGAGATATTCTGTACTTTTATGACCAAATTCTGTTCTTATTAAAATGTTCCAGTTCAAAGCATTTATCGTTATTGTTTCACAATTAAGCATAAGATATTTACCTTTCCTTACAGTTTATTCCATAAAATCCTAATAAACACGGTCGTTCGCAAGTTTCACCAAACCATCCAGGTGGGCATTCGCAAGCTCCTGTCTCAGGATTACATCTAGAGCCAGGTTTCTGACAGGGGCAGCTTAATCGACAGTCTGGTCCATAACGTCCTGGTGGACATTCTGAAAAGACAAAGTGAATTAAGTTAAACATTCAGGAGTAATACATGATGCATGACTTGATACTGGGATAAAAATGCACTCACTCTCTTGACAGTTTAGTCCAGTGAAGCCTACCGGACAGCGACATTCTCCAGTGAATCGGTCACATTCACCGCCTTCTGATCCCAGTGGACTTGTTGAACACTGACAGCGTATGGAACAGCTCTCGCCCCAATATCCATTTGAACATGGCAGCTCACAAGCCTCACCATACCAGCCCGAGCTGCAACGACATTTGCCTGTCACTGGGTCACAACTCGACCCTCTTAAACACGCACAGGTTCTTGAGCATCCATCCCCCCAGAACCCTCTGGGGCATTTTTCAGAACACCTAGGACCAGTACGTCCTGGAGGACAAATACATCTTCCTGTAACTTTGTCACAGCTTATACCATGAATATCTTCAGCACAGTCACATTTACTTGAGCAGTTTTTTCCGTAGGTACCTTCAGGACAAGGTTGATCACATGCTGGTCCGTACCAACCTAGTGAATTAAATATACCGATGAAAGTCACTATTATAATAGATTTAATTCATGAAAGTCATTATTTCGGTTATATTAGTATAAATAATTTGAAATTTTGTCTTCAGTAAACAAGCGAAATAGTTCGTAAATGACTTAGGCTTTAGATTCAGCCTGAAGCTTACATTTATTTCAGCTATTCATAAGAACTATTTGAAACTGAAACTTCAGTGAAGTAGCTTCTTCTGTTAGAACTTATATTAGTCAACTAGAGCCTGGGTAAACTAAAATATCATGTCAAAAATTGAAGAATAGATATCTTTTCTAAGGGCAACTTAAAACACCGCTTAATCAAGTGTGGGGCGATAGTACTAGCTAAACCCGGGGAAGAATAAACACGACTATATTGTTGACCACAGTCAATAACCGAAGTAACCACCGAAATGTACATTCGGTGACTGAAGGAAGCTGAAGTGAACAACTGGATAAAGTTCACTGAAAAATATGAAGAGATGAATAACACTGATTTCCCAAACACTTTTATACTCCCACACATTTCAACATATTTTGCATTATTCCTAAACCAACATCATGGACACAATTCATCATTATAACACTTCCTTTAACAAAGTGTTCCAAGAATGGAAGGTTTTAGTAATCTAGTAACTGTCTGGCTTTTTCCAAAAAATTCCATTGAAAAAGTTTTTTTCCCTTCACTTTCCCGGTGGAACATAGGGCTTCAAGCTAGAGACTTGAAGTTTCTGTAGCAGTGTTTATTTTACAGGATGGGGTTGCTAGCCTCATGCCCAACCTTTCCTCTTTACCATCTTTTATTACTGGTTTGGCGAGGTAAAGGAGTACGTCGCCTGGGGATCGAACCCCGGACCATGTGCATGGTCGGCAAGTGTCCTAACCACTATGCCACCGAAAAAGTTTGCTTCTGCTTTATTGTCAGTTCCATGGGATTTCCAGGGCAATATGTAGGCTTGTTCAGTGAAATGCTAGTTCACGTATTATGCTATGATAGAAACAACATGCTGACCAGCCTTCTCCAATGGATGAATACTATGAGGAGTCCCAAACTGGGACGAAACAACTGTTCATTACTACCAGATTTCCCGATGGTTCTTTAGTCTATATCAGCTCATGATAAAATCCTGTAACAAATCAAGTCCCTGTAAACCAATATTTGAATTCTTTTCCATCTATCTATAGTAAACTTTTTGATAGAGATTGTGTTCTGACTGACATGTTTTTGTCTTACAAGCCTATAAGTTACTTTAGTCGGGCTGATCTTTGATTTATTATTCAGTGTACTTTTAGTCGGCTTTAAATTTGACCTTCATAATTCAACTCACAGTCCGGAAAATGTACTTTATACGCTATATTATTTTTTAATCGGGTCTTGGAAAAGGCTTTATTTGTTTTTGATCGCTTTATGTGTATGGTGTATTCGCAGTTCACCTTCATACCACTTTAAACAGTGTAAGCATTATTTTGAAACTTAAGTTAATGACTATTTGAAAAATAAAAAACGGAGTCTTTGTGCATAATGACATTTGTAAATGTCTCAATATGGTGATAATTTAAGAAACCACGATATAGTAATTAGAACACCAGTATGTGAAATTGATCATTATCCACATGATGTCTGATCAACATAAAGAAAGTTAAAAAGCAGAAAACGGAAGACCAACAAAGCGAAAATGGAAAATGTTAGGATAAGTTGATATTACTGTCGTATTTTTCTAAGAACGGTTTATTGTGATGGTAATTTGTATTTCAGCTCGTGGAAGTAACCTAAATCTTCTAATTATGAAGGCTTCTACAAACTTTAGAATACTGTCAGTAAAAAGTTTGAGCATTGTGGATTAGATCAAATAAAGTATAATTATATTTCAATAGTTTACACACAATGATAAGTTTTGTTATTGGTAATATTTCGAGCAAAATTACTGCCCGTGTTCACACCACTGTTGGAATTATTTTATTCACACATTTATGATTTGTACTCGTATATATAGTTCATTATTATTATTTTTTGCTCATTCATGTTTTGTGTATGCATATGTGTGTTCAGAATTATACTCCACATTCATTCATGTGTTTGTATTTAGAATTAAATTCCAAGTTGTTGATAGTTGTCCCATGCACATGCATGGGACAAAAACCACAATATCGATTGGGACAATGTGTGCATTCTAAAAACAAACATGAACAAATGGAAAGAAAGACTCATAACAGAATCGATATTCATTAAAGTCACACTGGATACATGTAACAAGGGTGACTCAGTACAACTATCAACAACTTGGAATATAATTCTAAATACAAACACATGAATGAATGTGGAGTATAATTCTGAACACACATATGCATACACAAAACATGAATGAGCAAAAAATAATAATAATGAACTATATATACGAGTACAAATCATAAATGTGTGAATAAAATAATTCCAACAGTGGTGTGAACACGGGCAGTAATTTTGCTCGAAATATTACCAATAACAAAACTTATCATTGTGTGTAAACTATTGAAATATAATTATACTTTATTTAGAATACTGTCTTCAACAGGCCCGGTAGATGGATTTAAATGTCATCTGTTTTATGCTCTATTTCACTAATGTGTTTTGATATTATGGAGCCTTGATGTCTGTTTCCATTAGTAATAGATCCATCGGACTCATTTACCTTTGAGGTCATTTGTGGATAGGTTCTTTAGGCCTTGATTACTGAGATAGATTAGTCGTACGTATGCATGTTTGACAACTAAAAGTTCACGTACCTTTATTCCTGTTTGGCTTTATTGAACTTCATTGTCAATCTGACCTTCAGTTCAGCCTTCCCACCTAACCTGTTGTTATTTTCTCAATCATTGATACTTTATTATTCTCCGCTTACATTTTTATGGTTGATCAAAACATTAGAAATATACCGCGTGAACCGTTTGTGGACTTGACGTTGCGTACGTATTCTGGAACACTGCCTAGCTTGGTTAGCCAGAGGAGAAAAGAAGAATAGCAACAGCGTGATCCTCGAACACCTTGTTATCTCCGGACATCGAGCACCCCCACATGAATGCTTCACAGTTACACAGAGTCCCTCAATATCGTACAAACGGACTTCGGATACGTCATCTGTATATAGCTGAAGCATTAGCTATTCGAGATCTGAAACTGGACCTGTGCATACAAAAGCGATACATACATTCTCTTGCCCTACCATGGCCAGAGTGAAGTTCTTACCACAATTTTGTTTCTTTCCTTTAATATGTAAGTTCACTGTTATTATTATTATTCCTAATACTTTTGTTATCATTATTATTCCTATCATCCATATTTTATTACCACTCTATTACTGTTTATTAATAACATTGCTTTTTCATACAGATTTTATACACAAAAAAACACTTTATAGCCAGCCTTTCCACTAGTTCCTGTCCATTCTACACGAGCTTATTGATTAGTCATTATCTCATACTTGTTAAGACATGCCAACTTCTGTCTCCTTCCTAACTTACAATTAGTCATCCCTTCTTACACCTTACATTATGTAGTACAATTTTCATGGACAAAGTTTACCATTATCTGATTGGTCTAAAGATTTCTGTGTTAATTATAATTACGGTTGTACAGGTCATGAAAATGAATCGTCGAAAAGAAAATTTTCTTCGCTGTTTGTGCCTTTTTTCTTTTGTTGATTAGCGATATACAGCTCCACCACCGACCCATATAACCAAACAAATATGTCTTCACAATCAACTGTGGGAGAACTGGTCATAGCTTCTCAATAGATCTGGATTTTAATGGTTGTCTAACTGATGTCGATTCGTGATGAAATTTAACTTGAGATCAATCAAATCCCTATAAGTAGATAGCTGAAAATTCTAGTTCATTTTATTCCCATGTATCTAACTAGTCTAGCAACAAATAAGATAACTTTAGTAGGATTATTCTATACCTGTTTTGTTTCCCGAGACGTCAGAGCTTAAAAACCTATTCCTCATCCGTAAGTAAGTCTTGTGATGCATTTCCAGTGGATTCAGATATTACGCATTGTTAGTCTATAGTTTACATACATCCCTTTGACTGTTCTTGAATACATCAGCCTTAATTAAATCATTTAAACCATGTGGACTAAAAATTACCAGTGAAGATAGAATAACGTCAAAAGGCATTTTGCCCAACCATTCAGAACAGTAGGAGTAAAAGCAAACTAGAATTGAGACAAACTTACTGTAATGCACTCAGATAACACAGCAAAATGATATATCGTTAGCCATGCACACTTATCCATTCGATTTACAGGTATTTTTATTCAACATTTGTAAAACTGAGAACTTAAACCTTATGTATTTTCGATAGTGTTGAATAGTTTTTACAGTGAAATTTTATGCAAGTAATAAAATGAAAAACAATGTGACCAAAATTAAATTTATCGACAAATTATTGCTATGGATATGGAAATTAGATGTTACCTTCACTGCATTCACAATCACCGTTAACAGGATCACACTCAGCACCATTTGTACATTGACATCTATGCTGACAATCTAGACCATAGAATCCTGGTGCACATTGTTTATTACATAACATATTTCTCCAACCAGGTTCGCATTCACATGCTCCAGATCGATGATCACACGTCCCATGAACACATGCACATGTTTCTGTACAATTCAGTCCATATTTGCCTTTTTCACATTCTGCAATTAAAGATTAAGTAGAAAATAGTTTACTTTGCTTTGAAAAGTAGAGTTTTATTGTCTAACAGATTAGAAACCCTAAGCATCAAATATATATTTATATATACAGTAACATGTATCTGTAACATGGCATAATGATGCTTTATACCTCCTGCGAACCACCTAAGTGGGGTAGAAAACTACAAATATTGAGGGAGTAGATTTAGAGCCCTGTGAGGTAATATAATTCCACATTAAGTAAGCCTATTTGATATGGTTTTATCCAGCAGACAAAGCAACCAAAGACATCTTCAAAAAGTGAGATTCAAAATCTCATGAGAGGACATTTTTATTGCAGTGAGTAACGCTGAAATTGTGAATAGTCTGCTAGGTCATATTATCCGTTATGACAACTGTTGCCGGGACGATTGCATGAAAACAAAATATAGATACATCAAATTTGAAGAAAATAATGTAACAGCAGTTTAAAATGGGGAAATCGCTAGCCGGCTTACTCATATCTTCTCAAGGAGATCCATTTACGACCAACGACAACCCCGCTGGCTGCATATCAGGATTTAATTATGACCTAGGTTCAAACATTACATCTGAGACATAGTTTCTCAGGTATTCAGAGAAGATTTCTCAGGCAAAGATGATACTTGGAAGGTAAGACTTTTACCTAGAAGGTTGGGAGTCAGTGAATTGGATAAATGCTGTGATTCCATTTTATCATAGAAATCTAGTGAAGGAATGTTTCATAAGACCATGAAGATGTTAGGTCGACAGTTTGGTGATCATAGATGCCTGTTAATCACACGTTACCATTGTACGAAGTTGGTGTTGAACGGAAACGATGACACACATACACATCTTGGTAAAGTCGGCATCACCGGTGAACTTTTTAAGTTGAATTCACTAACTGAACATCAGTTCAAGGTTTTGATTTTTCATGTGCGCGTTAAGGTTCCCTAAATTTGCTGATGTATGAACACAGATGTTGAATAGGCTAGAATACGACTCACAAATGGCACTGAAGGATACTGGAGAAGAATATCAGCAGCTAACTAACCTACATAAAAGCACAATCTTGGTACAGTCTGGTGGACAGAGTACGGCTGAAGTATATTTGGATAACTTCTCATCACATCTATCACAGAGAAAACCACCCATAGCGTTTTGGCACTATGGTGCTTGGCATCATTAAAAATTGTGCCCTTCCAAACATCATAAATTCCAAGAATGCAGTACCATGATGACTATGAAAGAGTTCTACAGAAGGCGTCCTGGTATTATTTGACGTCTATCGCCCGAAGCTATGAATACTGCGTACGGATATAGCAGAATTTGTTAACCACTTTCAGTGATGCAAAAGTGCTTCCGAAAATATGTCACTTCGAATGACTGTCAGCAAGAACTAAGTGGTACACTCCGTCCATCTGCCACGCGAAATCTATGTGTAGTGATGACCATGGTTTTGCTAGAGTGTCTTCTTGAGATTGTTCTCTGGGCAGATTCCTCGCAGAGGCTTAGCTGCAGTGACAGAGGCTAACAAATTCTGTTATATCAGTATCCATGCCAAATATGGTTAGAAACATTTGTATTTTATAATCTTCTTTTAGTGTCCGGTCTTTACTAATTTTAACAAAAAAAAGTTACCATGTGTTTTGTTAGTAAAATCACTTCTCTCATTCTGACAACAATCTACTGGTCAACTAACAGAAAATAATGGTGCCCCAAAACAAGGGAACTATTTATGGACATGGGATAAATTTTAAAGGTTTCGGGTTTAATCAAGCAGTTACTTATTTTGAATTAGAAAACAGAACCAGCCATTCCTCACAATAATAGTTTTGTTTTAGTTCAGAGTCAATTGTGCACAAGCATTTCTGATTTGAAACTTAGTCAAGCCTATGTGTCAGATTAAAGTACTGATTGTAATTAAGGTTTCAACTGTTAATATTTATTGATTAGTCCTCGCATTTCACATGTGTGAATAGGTGTAGTGAAATGTCAGATCATATCAATGACATATCCCTTAACGATTTGACGTTGATAATGTCTCCTGAAACATACTCTAAAAATCTCTCAAGTGTCGAACACTAACAGTTATCTGTTTTGTGTCAATACTTCAGTGTGAGTAAATTAAAGTGTACTACTATTCAGTTATTAGACTTACTCTGATCACATTTGCTTCCAATGAATCCTGGGAAGCAAATGCATACTCCAGTTTCTTTATTGCACTCTACGCTGTTATTACAATCACAGATTTCTGTACAAGATTTACCCCATCTACCTGGAGGACAGGCTATAGGAAAAATAGTGAAGAAAGAAGGCAGCAAACTATAATACTATTAGAAACACTTATTTCCCTATACGAAATTAAAACAAGTAACAAAAGTTAATGCCTACCTAACTCTGAATTCCTCCATTCAGGAAAGTGGCGCATATCCATATAAATACATTCGATTGGTCACACTTCTTTTGAAGAAGATATCTTTAGAGAAGTGTGAACAAAACTGACTGGATATGTTCAGGTGGAAAAGTCAAAACGTCTCTTAAGTTTCCAATGTTCACAGATGGAAGTTGATGCATTAATAATGTTTACCCTTTGAAAACGATAAGTAAAATGATCGGAAGTGTGGTACATTTCACAGAAGTTCTATTTAGTTACCCAGAGTTGCTGTTGTTTTTTGTTGTTGAGTATTTTGTTATTTTTTCGAAGACCGTTGAGTGTGGTACATTGATAACAGTCATACTAAACATGATCGAATTCTCCAGGTTAAAGGCTGACGACAACTTTTTTCAAATGACAGCAAAGTAGAAATTTTTATCTTAAATTACTGCTAGTATTCATGATATTGTTGGGTGGTATTATTTTTTTACATACATTATTGGCTTATGATATTCACAAGTGCAAAAGTATTCGCATTCTACTTGATGAAGTCTAAATTCAACGATTGTCTATTACTTTTATTCTTCAGGCTTAGATTGATATTCTAACTCGTATCATTTTATCACTGAAAGAATTTCACCTAAATATAGAGTTTTGAACTTAATAGTTTGTTTTCATTGCCAGTCTTATGGTTCTTTTGTTGATGACAGTGAATTCAACAAGTAGTTGTTTGTTGGTAAGATTATCTGAGATAAGTTTAGATTGGTAGGCTAGTGTTATGCAGTGACAACTGAATTCGAAGGAATAAAGTAGACGGAGACATTTGGCTGAATGTCTTCAAGGACACTGCTGGGAACCCAATTTTGATTTCATCTTCACTGTTTTACATGGCAAATATTTACCGTCGTCTAATTCATGTATACATGCAGAGGGAGTAAATTTACTTGATTTATCATGTGACTTGACGTTCCCAGTAAAAATTTATGCATTCATCCGATTTTTTTCTTTCTACTGTGTATTAGTTTATCAATAAAACAAAGTTCTTAGGAAGTGAATACTGGAAAATGATTCAGTTTTAATTGTTGAACTGAAATAATATTCACTAACTTACATGGCTCCTCATCTATTGAATAGAAATCATTTTCTGAAGATGAAAATAAAAGCGCAGACAATTTAGTGTAATGAACTGTTAAAGGAAATCACAAATGATGCATCACTATATGCACACTTTACAATCACTTTTGTAAAACAAATTCTGTCATTGGAAGACAGGAGCTGAATAGAAACGCAAAATAAGTTTATTCAGATACTAACTGTATTACAAGTTAATAAGTAAGTGAAATTATATCACTTGGTGAGGCTACATTTGAAGCATCTCAATGGTTAACTTCATTACTAAGAAGTCACCCAAATCGAAATATATTGCAGTGATTTTTGGGTGACTCTTTTGATAAAAGGAGACAACAAATAAGTGGTATTGAACTAGTGAAATTATTAGCCATAATAAGTGTGAGAATTAATGGATAAATATCAACAAAGCGCCTAAATCTGTAATTAAGATTCTGATCATTATTTAACTAATCATTATTTTCAGATAAACTGAAAGGTTCATTATAATAAAGGTTTTTGTATTTCCCAATGAATGAAAAACAAAACGATATTGTTTTTACTGACGTTTCGCTGTTTGAAAACAATATCATTTTGTTTTTCATTCATTGGAAAATACAAAAACCTTTATTATAATGAATATCATATACCCAATGTCCAAATTTATTCAAACTGTTAAAAGTGAACTTGGTTTGGACATATATACTGAAAGGTCATTTTCGTGACATTTTCACTTGTTATGTCCACTGTAGAAGAAGAGCTTTCACTGGAATAGGCAGTAAAACAAAAGCACTGGAAATCCAATACGTAATTTTATAAAACATCGCATATCCCACCCCACCCCTGCGATTTCGGTGATTTACAAGGAATCGATTGACTCTGAAATGGCTCCTAATATAATTGAAATGTCTACATACATTGGTAATATTTATCCACTAATCTATGCATTTGGCAGCTGAGAATCATCCGTTCTGAAGGTCAGCATAATGCGGGATACATGCAAATTTGGAACGACAGTTTTGTTAATTTAAAAAAAGTGTTAATTTAGTTCTCGTATGTTCTTCATCAACTTTTCATTTGTGTTTGATCATACTACTTACTACTACTAAGTAGCATAAGTATATTTCGTTTTATTACTACGTAATCATTGTTATTGACTAACTTATCGTATCACCAATAGATTTGGTCTGGCGTAATTAGTTTCTACTGGTTAGACTGTATGTATCATAGATTTCTTCTTGATGTTCCACTCTTTTTTGAACATTACTTATTCGAATATCTTTATTCTTGACGAGTAGATTCACATGTTATTTAGGTGCCCACTCTGATCAACTTTGACACAGCTTCACTGTTTTTTTCTTACTGACGCACAGTGACAGTGCATTCCACAGCATACAGCCTAGACACCTCACGGCGTGAGGCGTAATTCAAACACCTGGTTTAGTCAATCGAATGTTGGATTAAAAATTATCTCTCCATATTTTTTGGAAGAGATCTAGATAGGGCCATTAAATCTCGTGGATGAGCATTCTTCTTCATATCCGATTTGGTCAGTCCCTGAGATCACAACTTCACAAAACAACTACGGGGAGATCGCCTTAAAACTCAGTCCATAATCCCCGTGAAGACATTGCACATTTCTCTACATCCTACATAAATGACTGACTTCAGATCTGTTTTCGTCACCAGTCGTATAGTTGTTCAGTCGATAACAGTCAGTGAGGTGCAGCTTGATAATGTATCGTTATTTTCTAAATAAATCAAAACTAAAGCCAAAATCTAGTTGCATAGCAACAGGAAGATCTTAAAGTAACATTTGAATGAATATAATAAAACTAGTTACGGACACACCATTTGATTGGAATGCATATACTACTAATTTAGACTACACAAAAATAAGACCAGTAGCAGATTTTTGTCTTACTCAACTAAGTGAAATGTTAACATTGATCAAGGAGTTTTCCAGTTAAAAAAAAATTATCACTTACGCATGTCACATTTATGTCTCATAACTCCATCTGAACACTGGCACAAACCCGTAACTGGATCACATCCTTTCCTGTTTGTTCCTTCACACTGACACTGAAATCGACAGTCTGGACCATAATTGCCAATATCACAAGCTAGATAGAAATACATTACAAATCCTATTAAGTCATACCGTTCAAAGGTAGAAAAACAACGCTTTTAAAGAATATAGAATTTCTACTAAGTTCAGTGTGTTTTACAAACTAAATATGTAATCATAAATTTATTTCAAATATTTTAATATTGTGTATATTATGAAATGATGGATAGGATTTCTGGCTTAGGTGAATGCTTTTAATATCGTGGAGCCTATTTGAGAAGAAATGAACTTTTAACATTCTGCACAGGTAAATAAACAACTTTCCTGAATTTTAGACTGCCCACCAAAATAAAAGAAGCTTCATGTTTAAATTATCCTATTTAGGGAATACAAAAAACACCAAATGTTGTACGTTTATTGATTAAGACGATTCGCGTATAGATATCATTTTTATTTAGGTTATTATTTATGATGGAATAGATAAATAAATGATCTATTACATTTTACGGGTCGTGGAATTCGAATTTTCTCCTAATCATGATGTCCAATAGGCAGTAACTAATAATGCGAGTTTCTGTAGAAAGAAGAAATTTTGTGATGCAGATTTCAGATAAAGAAACAAGCTCGAACTGAATGGGAAACTTTTGAGCTGTCACTATTTTTAGCCATAAAGTCCACAAAATGCCCGCGAAGCTTTTATTAGTCCCTCTGTGTATACTTGATCGACTGTCAGATATTTCTTGACGATCAAGGAAAATGAACTAGTGAAACACTTAGAAGTTATCCTTCCTACATAACTTTATGTAACCAATTTTTTCCCTCACAAGAAATGTCAACCGTTTATTTCTCTAAGTATATTATGTTATCTATCCAGTACAGTTTTCATGGTCTTATGTAGAACAAAGAGTAAAATATGACCTTACACTACATATATTACTTCTGGACTGCTATAGTAAAGTGAGTATAGTTGAATATCTTTTACTCAAACAAGACAGACTCAGAATTTACTGTTGAGATTAACTCTAGGCTGGCAGGACTAGTATTTAACTTCCCCAGGTTAGACGATAAGGCAATACACTACTTACGTAGTGAATGTTGGCTTTAACTGTATAATTTAGTGTAGATCTTGAAATTCAGAGAAATATTATCTATTTGGTAAAATAACTCAGTAACGGGGGAATCACTTTCGTCAACATTTAAACCTAAAACATCTGGTTAACATAGTTCCGAGAAATTCATTAATTGCAACTGACCATTACAATGAAGTTTTGGAGGTTAACCAACAGTTGGTGTGATCACGAGCAGTAATTCTGCTCGAAAAACTACCAAAAACAAAAACTTATCACTGTATGTAACCTAATGAAGTGTAACTATAATTTATTTAATTTATTTCAGAATGCCCAAACTTTTTACCGGCATTAATCCATCGCTTTTGCACAGACTCATTGTAATTAAGGTGTTAGTTGCGTGAATGTCGTTAAGACACCTTATCGATCATACGGAAATGTGACAATATGGTTTTTCTGAGTGAGGTCAGATTGGATGAATATGTTCACTGAAGTCATTTTTCTATGAGATAATTACTTTAAAATTAAAATATCTTATGAAATAAAGTTAATGAGATCATGAAAAACTGTTTGATGCAACTGACTAATTACACTTACGTATATCACATTTTTCTCCCCAGTAACCTGCTTTACAAGCACATTTGCCAGTAGTTGGATTACAGCTTTGAAGATTACCCCTTTCATCATAGCCACAGCGACAGAGCTTTGAACACTGTGGACCCCAATAACCAGCAGTGCAGTCTAGATAAATTAAAACTTTGCACTTGAATTGTAAAACACAAGATAAATCTAAGTTAATCAGATGAAAACGCCAAAGCAGCCTTATTATTTAAATTTCATATTCTCCAACAGCAGGCGACTGATAAAAGGAATTTACTATTCAATGATTTGTGATATGCTTTCCAATTAAGAGGATATTTATATATTTATATATCACCGAAATATTTTACAAAGAAATAGCCCCAAATTTTCAGTGTATCATAGATGTTACTAAGTGGTGCATACTCCTCATAAGACTTTAACAAGGGATTTATATTGGAAATGTATTAAAGTTAGTCATACCGATAAATATATAAAAGGAAATGATCTATAAAACAAGCAATAGCTCCCATCAGTGAAGTATTACCATAATACCATAGTCGTACAGAGTGAATAATGCAAAATACTGGGTTATTTCAAGAATATGAATCTGGAAATTTTCAAGAGCTAATCTGTAGTGATTTGATTTGTTTCAAATCCAATGACGGACTGATATCAGTTAGAGAACCACAGAAAACCAGGAATTCACCGAAAAGAGACTCATCTCCTAACTACTTGTGACGTTTACATTAAAACGAGTTACAACAGAGTCTACAAAAGAGTCTCAGTTAAAAACAAGATGAATTACATGATACCCCTTGAGTGATTCCACGTAAACATTTCGCTTAGCAGGCAAAATATTTTTTGACAATGTGTCATTTCATTAGCTATTTAGGTTCACTTTAGGCAGAAGCAAACTTCAAATTCATCATAGTATGAAACGTTAATTAAATTCATTCCAGGTAAACTGACAATATCAAAATTGTTATTTTATAAAACTATAGTTATGCTGCTCAACACAGAAGCCGAAACTAATGAGAATGAAATGTGAGAGCAAGCCCAACTTGACAAACTAAATTTGAGAAAACTTAATTAAATTATATGTACAGTTTTCCATAGTTCTAATAAAACAGTACTGTTTATTAAAATAGTTATTGTGACAATCACCTACACAACAGATACTAAAAGCTTTATCCACTGATTTGTCAATATCTACAAATACATGTCATTCATAAGCTCCACATACAGGTTAAGTTTACATGAAAAATACTTTACATACAATCCTTATGCGCAGAGGTCGTGGAAATAAATGGATTATTTTCAACTGACTACAATATGTATATTAATTTCAGTGAAATCAACAACTCATAAGTGTCCCTTTGGCTTATTAAAATCCTCGGCTCTTCTTTGGTTAGAATTTCGATCTGCTATAGTTTAGTGTGATAAATATTCGCAATTTTCGAAATGGACTAATGACAACGCCAGAGGCGTAGTCTGAAAACCGAGTACAGAAAGAAACAAATCACTTTCTAGCTCTGTTGAACTTCCAACATTATAAGCATAGATGCCATCACAAGTTGTTTTCTGAAACGAATAAATAGTAGCTTTATCAAAACGGTATAAAAAACTCTTTCTAATTATGCATTACTATGTGCACTAAATGATCTATCAGATGACAAAGTAGTTCCATCAGACTAAATAACCTACCATAGTATAAAATCGACAAAAGTTTAAATCTCTAGAGCTTTACACAAAGAAATACACAAAAGTCACATAGATTATATGTATATATATATACATATCACATAATTTACCTTCTTCACAAGTAGGTCCACGTTTCCCCGGCGGGCATTCAAACAAACATCTTCCACTCACTGGATCACAACCATTGGGACAATCGAAACATGTCATCATGCAATTCAAACCAAAATACGACGGTGGACACGGTAATATACATTCAGGCGGTCGATAACCAGGTTTGCAAACACATGCACCTGTCTAAATAATAAATATGATAAAAAAACATTTAAGTATACTCACTACTGTGTCTTAAGGAAATTTATGTGTTATGAATAAGGATGTATTGTACAAATAGGCAAACTAACTGTTATCTATACCTAGTAACTCGACCAATCCTTATTCAAGCAATTCCTCTGGTACTCTGTAAGAAGTTGAAGCATTCAAATCAGTAGAATCCAAAAAAAAAATGATCCTGAATAGGTGAACCGAACCATAAAATGTTACTCATTCAATAGGAAGATGTGTAGGATCCTTTGAGAATCAGTCTACTTAGTTCTCTCAGATTCAACCGGATTGAAACACATCATTATTACTCCTTGAAATATACTTATGTCTTTGAGGAGCACCATGTCTTCGATTTATATTTTATTTGACGAGGATTATGGTTTCCCTTGTTTTTATCGTTTAATCTTGTTACTTAAATATAGAATAGAGTAATATAAAGCATCTAGATGAAATTGATGTCAGAGTCAAATAGAGGCAAAAATGCCTCATTTTAAATAATGGAAATTTTTATGAAAATGAGCTAAATACTACAGTTGCATCATTTTCTCTACACTGGTTGCTGGAACTGAATTCCCCTCCAAAGATAATGTCTTCAACCACTAAAGGTGTCTGAAATTTACTTCGTGTACATAAAGAAATACTTCAGTCACAGAAGCGTTGAATGTAATCGTCATTAAACGTTGAACATAGGTTTCCTGCTACTGCGAACTCTCCAGCAATGTGTATTTGCAATTTCCAGGAAATTAATTATCTTTCAAAGGTTAGAATTTGCATCATTCAGAGCTGCAGTTATAACGGCTCCGATGAGCAACTGAAACCTGACTGGTTTCATGTGGTCATCTCGGTAACTGCACGACGGATCATAATTCGGTCTACTACCTAGCATTGTTTAAGTTAGTTCGGGTGCGCTTAAGCAAAATCCAGTGCTTTTAAAAGATAATACTTGGGTCTGAATTGCTACAGGCTATAAATCTTATGATCCTGTCGGCTTTAATAGATTAATCCAGATAGTCAACTAAAATAATCCACGCTAATTTTATTATGAAGGCAATTCCAATAAAAAGCAAACACACCTGAGGATCACAACCTTTTGTATTTCGTCCACTTTCTGAACATTCTGAAGGACACTTTAGACTGCACATTTCACCCCATGTATTTTCTGGACAACTTAAATGACAGTGAGATCCATACATTCCTGGCACACACGTACAATATCCTTTTGCACGATCGCATTGATTCGTTGCACAATGACTTGGACATAAGCGATCACACTGAGGTCCCCAGAAACCATCTTTACAGCCAGATAGTTCGCATCTTGTCCCGTGACTGCCTAAGGGGCAGTGACAAATTCCGTTTGTAGGATCACAAGGAATATTATTTGCGCAATCACAGTACTGCCGACAATCCACACCCCATAAGCCCTTTTGAAATAATAGAATATAAGGGTAGACTAGTGTTAGGTGTGCTGGTAGTATTAGGAATTAAAGGAGATTTTGACAACGCATAAATTAGGAAAGATTTGCATCCTGTTTTGGTTGACTTATGTATACATCTGTTTTCATTATCCGGTTTGAAACGTGATAGTTAAACTTTACAATTAACACATCAGATTCAAAAGTATCGATTGGGTGATCTTTCAGCTCCATTTAACTGATTGCTCTAATCAGCGGCTTTAAATGAAGATGATAATGTAGTTCACCAGAAGTATACACTGATTGCGTCTAGTGACTGAACAGCTTACACAATTCAAATTTTTCAAATTCGAAAAAGATGAACAGAACTGTCTTATCTGAAATCTAAAGCTGCTTGTCGCTGTTATGAATTTCAACAAAACAGTAGGAAGGCGTAGTTTATCTAATACACGTAATATATTTTCTCAGCATATTTCGAACATTCTTAGCACAAACATACTTGTCATGCAGATTTTTTTTATTACAGCTTGATTCCACACAGCAGTTTTGGTACAAGTATGGAATTTTTAGCATGGATATCGGTAGCCCAAATTTTGCAGGCCGACCATAGATATCAGGTGTGCGTCGGCAGGGGATCGAACCTCGGACCATGTATATGGTCGGCGACAGTCCTAACCACTGTACCACCGACGCACAATTAATGAAGTATGAAAGGTCAAGGATGAATAAAAGTAGGTCAAATTGTTTATATTGGAGTCTAAATCGTTAACACATATATTTTATAGGAAAAAGACGTGAACAACGAAGAAGATTTTCCCTTCGACGATTCGTTTTCATAAACTGTTCAATCGCAATTATATTTTTAACAAAGAATTCATAAGACAAATCAGATAGTGGTAAAATTTGTCCTCGAAAATGTATTACGTAATGCAAGGTGTAATCTAGAATGGGTGACTAATTGGACATTAGAAAAGGGGAAGAAGTTGGGATGACGTAATAAGTGAGAGAAATTGACTAATCAATAAGGTCGTGTAGAATGGACAGGAACTAGTGGAAAGGCGATAAAGTGCTTTTATAAAATCTGTATGAAAACTCAGTGTTATTAATAAACAGTAATAGAGTGATAATAAAATGTGGATAATAAGAATAATTACGATAAAAAATAATAATAATAAAATGAAGTAAAATTATAGTATGGACATTACTCAGGCCACAGTAGGGCGAGTGAATGCACGTAACGCTTTTCAATGCAGAGGTCCGGTATCAGACCGTTTTCATAAAAGTTCCCTGCTGAACAAACGAATTACTACGTTTATCTCTATTGGATGTGTCAACTAAATTTGTAATTATTATCCGTTTTTCTTCTGAGCTGCTTATCACTTTCCTGATATTCGTAAATCACATGTTGATTTGATCCTTAGCATTTGTCCTTTTCTCTGTTTAGTCACATATTTTTATGCTTTTTATGTGGTTGTATGATGATATAAATAATGTATTATTTTACGATGTTATTTTGGTTGAGTGAAATAACGTCATTCTGACCTTTAGTTGTCTGTGGGAACTGCTGATGTGTGATTCTTGCGGACAGAGTTCCAATACCGCCTTGTCAGGAATATTCTACTTGATTCTAAGGTACTTCTTACGGTTTAATTTTGGTTAGCTAGTTTTGATTTACAGTACTTTTTCTATGAATCAAACAAGCCCTAGATGAAAAATTCCGACCAGAACAAGCTGGATTCAGGAGAAACAAGTCATGTATTGATCAAATCGCCACTCTACGGATCATCATTGAACAAAGCTTGGAATGGCAGTCACCTCTCCACCTCACTCAACTTCATCGACTTTGAAAAGGCCTTCGATAGTGCAGCATCGATTGAGAGGTGATTTGGAAACTACTTCGCTACTACGGGGTCCCATCGACAATTATCCATTTCATCCAACAGTTATGTGACAATGCTGCATGCCAAGTAATCCACAACGGGAAACTTACGGAAGCCTTCGAAGTGAGGACGGGAGTGCGACAAGGATGTCTACTATCACCAATGATCTTCCTGATTGCAGTAGATTGGATAATGCGACAGACAACAGCAACCAACGAGGGAACAGGCATAAAATGGACTGACAGAAAAGACTTGGAGGATCTGGATTTCGCCGACGATGATATATGTCTGATTTCCCACAAACTGGAAGATATGCAAGTGAAAAGCAACAAGTTGGAAGCATCCATAGAAGATAGGACTTCAGGTGAACATAGAGAAAACAGAGGTGATGAAGATTCCTGGCCAACATCAACAGCAACAACAGCAACAGACAACAATCAGCCAGGATAAATGTGAGGAACCTGAAAGAAGCAACCTCCTTCACCTGCCTATCTGGGAAGCATCGTTTCAACTACAGTCCGACAGAACTGACAAGGATATCAAAGCTGGAATCGGAAAAGCAAGGCAAGCTTTCATTAATCTTAGGTCTATGTGGGAGTCAGCAGCACTCAGCATCAAAAATAAGATCCGGATATTCAACTCCAATGTAAAGTCAGTCAGTGCTACTATACGGATCAGAGACTTGGCCAGCGCGTCATAAAGAGCATCTCCAACAAACTTCAGACCTTCATTAACAGTTGTCTTCGCTCAATACTCAAGATCATATGGCCAACCAGAAAAGATCAGCAGCAGGGTGGGATCTCTGGGAGCGAACCAACCAGAAACCGATTGTAAAACAAGTAAGCAGGAAGAAATGGAGATGGATTGGCCATACTCTGAGGAAACCATCAAGTGACATCATTAAACAAGCCATTGCTCGAGTGTAACCCGGGTGGGAAGCGGCGAGTTGGTCGTCAGTGCAAGGGTGACTTGGAGGAGGTCATGTGAACAGGAGATGAAAGCATGTGGGCAGACTTGGAGCGGAGTGAAAAAGTTGGCAAAAAACAGAAGGCAATAGAGACGCGCAGCTGAAGCCCTTTGTTCCTCTAGGAATTAAAGGATATAACAATAATATGATACTTGTTCTATACCCGAAAGTTTTCTTGTCTGTATAGCTACCTAACGGCACCGCTGAGGTAATTTTGAGTTTTAAGTTATAATTTTTGAAAAGAACTATAGATTTATTGACAAATAACCGTCTTTGTGCCCTGCTTGGAGCGTTTTTTAACTGTGCCTCTCTGAAGGAAGTTTCCAACGGCTATACAGTAGGACACGAAGATCACTTCCGTGCTTTCAGATCACAATGAGTGGGTTATTCTAGTTAAAATGTACTCCTTAAAAATCCCAGAAACTCAGTATTTCTTTACTCCTGGCAATGTCAATGCCCAAGCCTTCAACACACAACCTTGTTAAATGGCTAGCTGAAATGCAGGTTCCCAAAAGAAGTTTCTGAGGGTTTGCTCTGAAGGAAACTTTTGATTTAACCAGCTGTCTTAAAAAAATTAAGGTAAAACTCTAAATCATGTTACAGACAATTAATATTTTAGAGTGGTTGTATCTAAACAACAATTATTACCAATTTCCACACCAAATTTTCACTAGTAATGATAAATTTATACATAGGGATCCCTTTAGTCCCAATATGTACATGGACACACGTAAACGCAACTGGATTTCACATTATCGTTCTTCTAAGTGATGTCAATGTGCTCGTAAAACTGGTATGGCTTTGCTAGAAGCACAAACTTTTATGAAGCATTTGAAATGAATTCGTCTGATATGCTATCATATCTCGTAGTTGGATAACTAACAAAATGAATTAAACTCATGTATGAGTAACATATATAAGAAATTTGAAATTATATTTATCTAACTGTTAAGGCTTTAATAATTGGTCATTATTAGCTAGAAATAGATAATGACAAACAGGAATACGTTAGAGGTGCTTCTTTTTTTTAGTTCATTCCCTTTACCTAATTTATTCAAATACGGGACAGAATAAATTTGAAAAATGTTCCTTGAAACCATTGAAATGAAAACTGAAAATTATGGTTATTAACAGTCACGGATATAATTACCCAGAGTGTGTCAAACAATCTGATACAAAAAATACCAGTAGCCTTAATCTACAATCAGTATTAAATCCTGTGATACCTAACTTTTGTCTTTTGTTAATTATCACCTAAGTAAATCACTTGTCTTGAAGAAATTCACATTTAACTCCAAGATACCAAGGCTCTTCATTCACTAATGAACTTGGTGTTTTCAGTACTAAACTAGTAATAACAGGATTGATCTTATGGAGGGATTGACGCTGTCACGTAATGGCATCTAACGTAACTATCTAGATCTAAGCGCTAACATATATCCATACACCAGATATGAATTCTGATTAGTAAGCTAAGTGAAAGCATGTAACGGCCATTTACTTTCAAAATAAATCAGTAATGAGAGGTTTACATAAATTTATCCTTATACCTTTGGACATTTCTCTTCACATCTTATTCCCCTGTATCCAGCTGCACACTCACATCCTGTTAAATCTCTGTTACACTGACCCCCATTTTCACAGTGCGAACATGTGAAACTACAATCAGGTCCAAAGCGTCCGGGTGAACATAAACGGCCTCCTATAACAGATGAAATTGGATAGCTTTAATTAACAATCTGGTCTGAATATATTACAAAATGAATAATTTTCGAAAAGAAACAATTTCACAACAACAAGAACAGTCATCTCAAATAACGACATTTAGTTCATGCTTAAATTCAACAACTACAGAAATAACAAGATAAAGTAATGACAACTGGTCTTACTTTCACACTTGAAGCTCATCTAAGTTACACAAAACTGAATTTATTCTGGTGTTTTAACAAAGAGAACAAACACTCCCCGAAGACATTGGCTAGCGGTAGCACTATGTAGTGAACTGGCAGAGGTTCGAATTCATGGGCCATTGGATTGGGTGGGTCCCAGTGGCCAAATGGCCTACTACCTCACCTTGCAAGCAGAAGGTCCTGCGCTTGAAACCCCGGTGAGTGCGTAGTGATGAAGTGTCCCAGACTAGGATGGAACAGCTGTCAAGTACTCCCAGGTTTTCCAATACTTCTCTAACTGATGTCAGCTCATGATGAAATCCTGTAAACATATTGGTAACTATTTACCCCACTAGCTGGCTTGTTTCTACTATGGTTCAGGCATCTAGTAAAAGCTATGCAATTGATGGTGATTGTTTCTTATCGTTATGAAACTCATTTATCCTGTATCCGGGCTATATATGCTGTTCAGCTTGATCCGATCTAATTGTGGGCTTATTAAAACTTTGTTCTCGTCAAATGATATGTAATTCAAAATAAGTGTCAGCAAAGATCGCTTTTCGTAACTTCACTTCAGAGCTGTACAGTTATCAAAGGGTCTTTATATATAAATTGCAGACTGATAATAGAGGTCAAAAGTTATTGTTAGTTGGTGAGAAAATAAAGCGAATTTGAGAATAATTTTAATTGATAAGGATGACTGACAAATGATTTCTCACATGGCCTGATTCAAAATTTTACATGGTTATCATTCAACGTCACCAGAAAGCGCACACTAATGACCCAATAATAGAACATACCAGGGACAGTTTGGTTGTTCTGACAGTCAGTAATCATTTATCCTGGAATATGTCTGATATATCAATGGTATTTTTTTTATTATAGCTTGATTCCACACCGTATTTTTGGTACAGGTATGGAATTTTCAGCCGAAATTTCGCAGGCTGACAAATTGATATCAAGTGTGCGTCAGCAGGGGATCAAACCTCAGACCATGTACATGGTGAGAGTCCTCACCGACGCACAGTTTAAGACTAATATGATGATACAAATCGTCAGAAAGGATAAATTTCAAGTAATGAGTTTAGGCAGTATTCAGAACACAATGCAAATTGTGTGAATTTTAGGGATGTGAGCCATTAGTTCTTGACTCATGGACAGAATATTACAGAGTCGTGATTATACATTGTCTTTCTGACATAACTTCCAATCGAAGTAAATGAAGTGATTCTTCATTCTCGGATAAACAGTCATAAATGATTAAAACTGCATAAAACACAACGAACATGCATTTCTTTACACAATACATTCAATGGAACACAACAATGAAGACAAACCGATAGGGGAATCACTTTGGTAAATGGATGAGTCATCCTGTTGCATCACTAAACATAAACATAAATAAGGAACATTATATAAGTAATTCTACTGCCTTCGTATTACCAGTCAAAAACTTTAAGCTTATAGGTCATCCTGTTTGATAAGTAAAATTCTGACTGTTATTCGTCATGTCAGACCAAATGTCATATGAAGTAACTGTGATATAATGCATGATGTACATATCAAACCCGAAAAATTTCTTTTAGTACACATAGTTAAAAGACCTCAATACAGAATTAAAAAGTTAACCAAAACTTTTTGGCTTTCAATGGTTTCCTACTAAATGTCAGTTCTTAATATCTTTTCTACAGAAAAGCAGCAGACATTTGTGGTTCTTAATTTAGAAATTGATGAAAAAAGAGGCTAAATAATTTTACACATGGAGAAAAGCGCGTTTGGAATTTTAAATGCAGCACTTCGAATGTGAAGAAAAGAGAGGGGAACAGTCCAAGAAGCTATTGTTGGATGAAACAGATCATACGCCTACTCGACAGTCACAGGGTTTTTATCACCATCATTTTAGACCCAGAATACATCCACCTCTGACTGACTTTTTATATTTGGTGAAAATATAAATTTGGGGCCGGTCATTAGCAAATTTCAGAAGAGAATTATTGTTATTGTAAACTACAGTATTATCAGAATACAGTCGTACTGAGTGTATAATGCCTGAGATTTTGGAACTTTCAGTGGAGGTGAATTTTATACAAATATTTCAATGATATTTAGGTGTTTTTCATTGATGTGCACACAATAGAGATACAGTGAGTCATCTTTTGTTTAGATATTTATTCTAAACCGAAGTTGTACTGCTTCGGACGTAAACTGTAGCCACTTAGATACCACCCTGTTCAAATACACTTTCTGCATATCTATCACATCGTTGAACCAATTATAGATATCCAGAAATTGCAGTTGATTATTTCTTTCTTTACCACATGTAATATCGATAGGATCTTATCGATGGCTCAATGGTCAACATTAGTTTTGTTGTGAAATCCACCAAAAAAATTACTTTCAGTCGGTTATTAGATGTTATAAAGAACAAACCAAACGAAATTTTTGATCAATCTACTGACTTGAATCAAATGACGTTCGTAATTTTGAAAATTGATGAATTTCACCGTAATTCTCTGAGTTGGTTTCATGGTGAGCTGTTTACGATTTTGATTAGACGGAACAAATAGGGCACTAGAATCATCACGTACATAACCAGAAGAACCTGGAGAAAAACGAAACCAAATATATGAGTAAGTGGTTAGGAAGGATTCATTTCTTTTATTATAACAAATGAGATTCATTTATGCGAATTAAAATGAGGATTATTTAGAACTTTTGATATTTCATACAACCGAACTGTTTTGTTTTACTAGACAATGTGAGTTCGTCGAATAAAATGGTTACTGTCATGTGATCTATTTGCATAAAATATATTGCTTCAAAAATGTCATTTTAATAAGCATCAAAATTTAGGTGGTCATCTGTTCATAAATTATTTACAAGTAATCATTATAATTTGTCAAAAACTAGGCGATTTCAACTAAAATTTAATTCCAGCATAAATCTACCTTCAGCTCACTTTGTAATCGTTGGCTTTCGTGAGAGTATTTTTTGCTGAAAGATTAGAGACAACTGACTGACACTCTTAAACTTACGTATTTTTGCTGCTTAGTGCATAGTTGTACATTTAGTTTCCAGATATTGTGGAGACCATATTTCTCCTAAAACTGTCTGTCACACCATTCATTAGTTCTCTTTGAAAAGTTGAAATACTAGTGGAGTCGGTTTTTTGCTCGCCTTGTTAACATGCTCAACAAGATACTGTGAATATGAAATAAACTATAACTGTCCACGGACAGATTGTGTTTGGTGTTGACTGTATAGATGTAAGAACCAAAACAGGAGGCCGTATATGGATGAAACTATTTGTTATCTCAGACCTACAGTATCAAACTCAAACATCTAATCAGTATTTCCGCTGCTTATATGTTTCTGAAAGGAACGAATTTCGAATGTCTGAATAGTGTGCCCTTATTATACACCACTAGTTGCTTTAACCTCAAAGGCAGTCTATTTATATGGGAGACAGCATAATTGATTTGTATACTTATCTCTAGCGCGTCGGTGGCATAGCGGTAAGGGTACTCGCCGACCATGTACTTGGTCCGAGGTTCGATTCTCGGCTGGCGCACTCTCTTACCTCGCTAAACCAGAAATAATGCTGGTGAAGAGGAAAGGTTAGGCCTGAGGCTAGCAACCCCATTCTGTAAAATAAACACTGCTACAGAAACTTCAAGCTACTAGCTAGAAGCCCTATGTTCCACTGGGGAACGTGAAGGAAAGAAACATTTATCTCCGATTTTATTTCAAATAAACATTTTCGAAACGATTTAGTTAAATAATAAGCAAACGTATCACTTCATTGGAAGTAAACGAATGCACTTAGTACCTCTCTTTAAGAATGCCAGTAATCCTGTTGACAAGACTTTAACCTCAGTATTTCTTCAAAGTGTACTATTTCTAAGTATGACCTGTCAAAAGTAATAATTTTGTGTGCACGATAATGAACCACGCTGAATGTAAAGTCTTAAGAACAAGCATCTGGATAAATAAGGCACAGACCAATTACTACTCACGTTTTCTGAACGGTTGAAATATTGTTTTATGATTTAATAGAAGAGAAATAATGTTCACGAGATGAATACTGCTATAATTTTCGAAGTCTTTAACTACACAGAAGTCAGGTGTTTATATATTCAGCGGCGGGAACAACCACAGAAGTAATTCTACTTACGTGAACATGTACGTCCATCGGGATTTAATTCGTCACCAAAATCACATAGGCACCTATGCCCTCCAATTGTATTCACACACTGGAATTCACATCCACCATTGTCATCCAGACATTCATCAATATCTAGGAGAAAGTGCATTTTGGAGATAATATCGGGAAAAAAGTTTTAATTCAGAAAGTAACTGATGAAATTTAAATATTTTCTGAATTACTTTTTTATATTACAGCTTGATTCCACACCGTATTTTTGTTACAGGTATGGAATTTTCAGCATGTGATATCGGTAGCCCGAATTTCGTAGGCTGACCAATTGATATCAGGTGTGCGTCAGCGTGGGCTCGAACCCCGGACCATGTGCATGATCGGCGAGAGTCCTAACCACGCACAGTTTAGAGGTACACTAGTAGCCACATCTCGCATAGCTTTTCAACTCCAGCCAGCAACTTATTCTGAAAAAATTTAATATAAAAGCAACCGTCATATACTGAGGAGTTATGTGAACTATTTTAAAACGAGTAGTTTTAGTTAGCTAAGTCTTATTACTCTTGATTGAATGCTTCCGTATATTGGCTGGGATTAGATTAATATAATTCTAAAATACAAGGCTGTAATTGTAGGTTTATTTTCCTTCCTATTTAGCTGTCCTTTAATTTTTATTCCAGAGGATTACATCAGTATGAGTCTACCGAATATACTTTTTTTTTAACAACATGAATATTAGATGAAATTGGCGGCATACACAATCTGGGGTCTGAATTTGGGTTTGCATTAGTAGAATGACCTCCTAGGATAGATTTAATTGTAATTTGATGAAATTTTTGTCGGTTTTCTCGCAGGTTGATCTTACTGAACTGAAACGCTCGTCTCTGTTGATCTGTTGGCTACTAGTTCTCATGTTTCGACTAGGTTTTAAGACTGTCATGTTCTTATTCAGTTGGCTGTGGCTAGCGATGGGTCTAGAATACGTGTTATGTCCTATTTGGGACTCGACAGATGGATGTTCCTGAATTCCCAGTGAGTGCTGCATTCAGCCAAACAACAGGAGTTCAACTGTTAGGTTGCTTGGGGGAGACTTATTCAGGTTTCACATGCAGCTGATAACAGGCTTTAAATCGAAGTACCATGCCATTTAGCACATTTTAACAAAATATATTCATAATCTGTAGAAAACTCAAAGTTACTTCTAAAACTTAAAATCCATAAGAGGCAGTTACAAGAACAAAGATTTCAACTGCAAAGGTCTTTATGTCCCAACTTGTTATGAACCTTGGTCATAAAAATAAACTAGTCTTTTGTCCTCAATCTTTCATGGAATTACAACTATTATGCGTTTCTACTTTAATTGGGATCCTCCAGTACTTCCAAATTTAAACACATTTCTGTAGTATAATCCGTATCTCTTGTTTGTTCAGTATTATACTTCTTATTTCACTTGACAGCGCAATTTTTGAGCTCCAAAAGGTAACAGTTCAACTATATAAGTTTAACTTTTAGTTTTAATGAATGCTAAATTATTATTATTTCCTTTAGTTCCTAGAGGAACATAGGGAATCAGCCGCACGTCTCCATTACTTTTGGTTCTCTGTCAAAGTTTTCACCTTGCTCCGTCTGCCCACATGCTTTTGTCTTCTCTTCACATGACGTCCTCCATGTCACCATTGAAAGACCAACTCACCACTTCCCGTTCGGGTTCTACTCGAGGGTCTGTCGTGCGATGTCACTTGATGGTTTTCTCACAGTAAGGCCAATCCACCACCATTTCTTCCTGCTTATTTGTTGCACAATTGGTTCCTGGTTGGTTCGCTCCCTGAGACCTCTGCTGCTGATCTTTTCTGGTAGGCCATCTGACCTTGAACGAACTATTGAGCGAAGACAGCTGTTGATGAAGGTTTGTAGTTTGTTTGAAGTGCTCTTCATGACGCCCCAAGTCTCTGCTCAATTAGTAAAGTAATACTACTTTTATCACCACAAAGCCACCGTATGGACTCACTTTGTAGTTATAACTTGAAGATAACCTACAAGCATATGTGAAAATGAAGTCAGAGAAAGTCAGTTCTAGTTCATTAGAAGTAGTAGACTTGTATGAAGTTAGCGGTCTAATTGGTTAACTGTTTACTGTCATTTAATATCAATCTGAGCGAATGCGTTTCGAAATACAATCATTTACCTTGACATGAATGTCCATCTGGACTTATTCGAAATCCTGGTTGACATTCACAGCGGTATGTTCCTGGTTCATTGATACATACAACAGCTTGGCCATAACATTTAGCTTCACCAATTAAACATTCATCACGATCTAGTTAGAATAAAACGAAAGAATAAGTTTGGATAGTATCACTAAAACAGCTAAAAGAAAAGTAATCTTTAAATGTACTGACTTTTTGATAGCACAGTTTACAAAAAACATAGTCATGGAATACACAGATTGGATCATAGGAATCATTTAATAGACGGTTGCAGTACAGAAAATTTTCTTTTCGATGAAGTCACTAACTAAGCTGTACATTTTTGTATTTATAGTAAGTGCATGAGAAAGTTCCAGAACTATTTGCGGTCAAGGGTTAAATTAATACATTGACCTTACCATGCGTCCGCTTGTAAAACGTGCTCGGCAACACCATGTAGCTTGATTAACAAAACCAAGGGTGCATGCAATTCGGTAACATAGCATCTGGTAAGTTCTGGACATTCAACTCCATTTGAAAAGTCCTTCAGAGTCATATACAAGATCCAGTCAAATCTCTCAAAGAGAGCGAAATTAAAGTGTCTAGGGAGAGATGGGGTACTAGCGATCCAAAAGTTCAATCTCACGCTGTGTATTCAAAAGAAATACGTCCAACCGTTGTCCCTACGGCGGCCATCATGAAATGTCAGTCCCAACCCAATACTTGAATACCAATGAGATGCTCACTGGCAACTGGTCCTATCTAGGTAGGTAGCTACCTGGGATTTCAGTGGGAAGTCGTGACCAGAAGAGTGCAGCAGGTCGGGTGTGAGGACAAATACTCGCCGAAGACATTGGCTAGCGGTTGCGCTATATCGTGAATTGGTAGAAGTTAGAATTCATGGGCTGGCCATTGGATTGGGTCCCAGTGGCTTAATGGTATACGAGCTCGCCTTGTAACCGGAAGGTCCTGAGTTCGAATCCCGGTGGGTGCTTACTGCTGAAGAGTCCCAAACTAGGACGAAACAGCTGTCCAGTACTCCCAGGTTTTCCAACGGTTCTCTAACTAATGTCAGCTCATGATGAAATCCTGTAACCAACGATAATTATTATCCTATCACCTTTTTTATCGAACCTTCCTGTTTATTTCCGTTATTTTTACGTTTTTTTTAATTCTTATCTAGACTACACTTGTTTGTTTAACCGAACTTCCTACCTGTTTTGTTATTACAATTTTTTAAATGCGTAATTGCTCAGTCAAGTTTTCCAGTTATTATGATCTTACTATGTCTTTTCTGAACGTTCTTCCTGAGTATTACATTTAACCTTTCGCACTCATATACTATAAATACACGAATGTACGACCTAGTTGATGACTTCTTCAAAAAGCATGGTATTTATCTGAAAATTTATTTTAATCGAATTCGAAGTCGAGGTAAAATTACATTCAATTAATAAAAGCTACTGAGAAGAAATGAGTTCTGCTTAGCTAACATTTAAGTCACTGTGGTGCTATTTTCGATGTCTTTAGGAACAAATATTTTCTGTGGACACGACATTCACTTAACTGAAAAATTCAGATTTTTTGTAGGACATTCGTAACCATGAGGAACTTTAGGTAGTACATGGCTGACGTCCACTCATTATCCATGGCTGTCATTCCCAATAAATCAATTATCTGTGTGTAAGATGCAGCTTCAGACATTTGTTTTTTCCTCTAGCAAGCTTCAGTAGACGTTTAAGAATGGATTTTAGGTAATGATGTTAATACCTTTGTCAGATATGGCTGAAATAATTAGCTACAGTGTAAGTGAAGATTAAGTAGCACTGAACAATCATTTTGTCGTAGTTTGACTCTTTAGGATTTAGAACTGATTAGCTGACTGGTGATCTAGCGCACAAAAATCAAATCAATAGGTTTGGACTCAGTGCTTCATGATTTCCAAACTCCACTAAATCTCGACTCGATAACATCACAGTTCATTTTTACTATTGGGTGAATGTTGTCATATCTGACTTTAAAATATTCTTCTGCGTTTCAATCATTAATGTACATTGGATAAGTTTCAGATGAACAATTTGCAAAGAATTTATAACAAATAAAAACGATAAATTTATTTTTACATAGGTCTTTCTCCAAAAGACAGTCATTATAAGCCTAGTTTTCAAATGTGTTTTCGACTGTGAACTGCTTGATAGATTGTGTCATCAAAAGTTTGACAACTGATAAAAGTTTATTTACAAAATGTGCATTATATCAGTAAAACTGTGCAGAATGGCACTGTTGTGATCATTGAGTATTCAGGATTAAAAAGCTCTGTACACAGAGTCAGTATTATAATATCTAACGTCAAAGCTAAGTGATACAATTTGAATGTAAGTTTTTACCAACAAGCCTGAGACTTGAGTTCAAAGCTTTCAGTTAGTTTTATCTTTTTTCGGATTACTGAATAAAAATATATTTCACATAAAGCACAGCATTTGAAATAGGTTGATTTCATCGAACAAAAACCGGAATGAAATCTAACCTGAACATGTTCTGCCATCAGCTTGAAGGTCATATCCAGGGCTACATGCGCATTCTGCTGTCCCAGCATCTGTTCTTATGCATATATGAGTACATCCACCATTCCCAAACCGACATGGGTCACTTACTTCTAGAACAACTCCTGTATTGGTAAAAATTCAAAAACTCCAGTTTAGATTTCCAGCAGAAATATAAACTTTAGGGAAAAGAAAATTATTTAAGGAAGTATTGAAGGGAAGTCAAGGTTGTAATGAGTTGGCAGTTTGCCTTATTAAGTAGTTTGAATCTTTGCACTCAGCATTTTACATTTTTAAAGTTGAAACCTCATATTTTTGTGAGGATGGAATGAGGTGCTGATTGCGACATGATATAGTTTTACATGGCTATTGTAGTATTTTATTAAATAGCTCACGAGAAGGACAAAATTTTAACGCTGGTGCGTTTTTATCCTGTTTTCATCAGTATCAGAAATCTGGACAAAAGAAATGGTCTTCCTGATTTTATAGTTATCTTTTAAGGTAGCACAAAGTTCAAAATACCTTCTTTATGAATCCCAGGTATAACACACATAATTATGGTAACTAGTCACTTCCTCTATTCTGAATGGAACAGCGGTTGTCGGCACTACATCTACATAGCGCCTGGTTATCTGGCATCATTTTCAATCAGCCTTATGACTACTTAGAAGATTATCCTCTTCATGTACTCATCTTGATGTCTCCGCCTAATGCCAGACTCGTCACTTCAGATTCGGCTTCCATTCAAAACTCTGAGATGATATGCTACTTGAGTGTCTTCTCAGCGTATTTATAATCCATTTTCACACCTGCCTGAATGTTTTCTGAGCGATTGGTTCTTGTCTGCTTGGCTGTGCCGCAAGAATTCTTTGATGCCTCGTCTACTAACGCTTATAAATCTTCGAATCTGCTCAACATGACACATAGATCCCTTAATCTGTTAGCATTTTCTCGTCCCTTCAGCGTATCTTCACCGTGGTCTGTCTCATGGTTCAGTCCACCACAGACATGAAGGTCATCAGTGATGATAATACTTAGACTTGCCTTACTCCTCTGTTAATTTCAAATGTTTCAGTAGGGTTCCCATTTCGAATTACTTACTCACCATATTAGTTTGTTTATCATATTATATCATATGATTATGAACAATAAATTTTGTTCGAAACGTCATCCAGTAAATAATACTGTTTCACTGTTATACATCTAATAAAAAAACTAATATGGAATTACTTACTACCACAATGCCAAAGTTTTACACATATATTAATACTTACTCACCATACAGCTGATGAATGGGAAGCACACGTTTTTATGGTGTTTCACGCCTTCTCTAAATTATTTCGTGGTGAGCACTATCGAGGGCTTTTACAAAGTCGATGACACTGAGGTAAAGAGGTGACTGTTATTATGACTTGTCTTTGTTCAGACTACCCTGTCCCAAAACGTCCTCCATGGAAAACATGTTTCAGTCTCTCCAAAATGATGCAGCTTAAGACTCTGTTTGAGTGGGATGAAAGCATGCTACTGTCCAAGTTTTACCGGGGGTTTAAGCTACCCGTCTCAAGGAATTTGATATAGTAGGCTTTTTTCCAGTAAATAGGTACCTATTGTTCCTTCAACAGCTTCTACACTAAACATTTTTACTGAGGTCTCTGAATCAGTTTTTTGTGTTACTGGGTGGATTTTACCTGGTCTTGTTGCTTTTTTGGCCTTCAAGACTTCTGTTTCTTTCAGCGAACTGGTAAATAATATCTCTACCTTTTAAATTTAGAAGAAAATCTGAATTCAAGAGGAATATGCAACAGAAGTCATAGTCTAGCTAGTAACAATCCTGTTAGTTTAAGAGACTTTCACATGAGATATTGAACACAACTGCATTGAATACCTAACTCAAGTTTATCAAGTTCTAAAGGTCACTTCATGGGACTGGAAGAAAGCTCATGTTTTGGTGCAACTTAACAAACACTGCTTACTTATATTAACGACTGGAAACAAATAAACAAGTCGTACAAAATCAAACCAGTCAACCTTTACAGTTTTCTGATCTACATCAACTACCAATGCAGATTTTCTTTTATGCTAATCGAAACTAAACCATAAAGCAAGCAAAATATCATTGCTGCAACAGGTGCATAAAATACTAAAGCAAAAGGGACTATTTGTTACTGAATTAAAGAATAAGAATATCAGCCAAGTCATCTGATTGCCTGACTATTCGATTTCACCAAATTGTACAAGAGAGAAAAGCCACCACGCTTTATATGTTTCCAAACCAATTTCACTTTTAACAGTTTGAAAACATTTGGGCATTGGACATATGATATTCATTATAATAAAGGTTTTTTGTATTTCCTAATGAATGAAAAACACCATACTGTTTAAAATTCCTCCAGTATAATTCATACTTTGTTTGTTCCACAGAAATTTCAAAACGATTTGAATGAATACTTAACAACTACAGATATGATATTTAACACCATTCTTGACGTAGGATACTTGTCAACATTTTACTTTTAGGAAAGTGAATTCAACTCGTATTATTTCCCATGGTATTAGTCTTTTACAGTGTAATGTTTTTTTTCTATTACAGTTTGATTCCACACTGTATTTTTGGTACAAGTATGGAATTTTCAGCATGTGATCTCGGTAGCCCAAATTTTGCAGGCTGACCATAGTTATCAGGTGTGCGTCGGCAGGGGATCGAACCTCGGACCATGTATATGGTCGGCGACAGTCCTAACCACTGTTCCACCGACGCACTAGGAATTCGGATCACAAGAGGCGTTGATCTGGAAATTAGTATGAATTGGATTCCTTGGATAGTATGGTACCACATAGGTAGCAAGATGATTCGCTTTTTTCAATACTATACATTCCATTAGGAGTTTGGTTTGAATGAAATACTATTTATTGAAAGTATTGTCTGAATAGGTGCAGTCTGCTTGACTGAATCTACTTAAGCGACTGAACTGTAACAACATTAGTGATTCTTCCCAATAAAATAAAACGGAAGTCGGTTTTTGTCGAATTGACTGAGTAAAAATCTAACCACAAGATTATCTTATGCACTTAAGTAAATCAGTTGTGCAGCAGAAATAACCATTAGTAATCATACATAATTATCATTGAAGTGACATACAAATAAACTAGTATTAACTCACGATAACACGATCTTCCATCATTTCCTAACTGCCAACCTGGATTGCAGCTACAGCTGTATGAACCATCAACATTCCTGCACAGCTGTTGACAGCCTCCATTATTGTCGCTACACTCATTAATATCTAATAGAGAAATGAAAATCAAACAGATGCTGATAACAATAAAATGGTATACTGTCAACGTTATTAAAAGTCAATCTGAATGAAGAATATTCTTTTCAATAATTTCTATTCAGGTTCTTACAATTATAAAACGTAATATTTGTTGTTGTCGTAACAATAATGGCCAGTTATGCGGCGGATACATTTTTTACGTAGAATAAGAGATTAGTTATGGGGTGTCAAAATAAATAGTCATACTTGTGTGACAAACGTGCTAGGCTCAAATCGATTAGAAAATATTGTAAAACGGGAGACAATGGTGGTGATTAATCATAATAGATTTGTAGAGTGTGGGGTAGGAAAACTGACAAGTCAATTCAAGGTTATAAAATCTGTCAGGTGAGTGGCTAGTACAAAGTGGTCTGTATTAAACAGGAGACAATAAGACTGCAATGAGAGGTTCATTAACTTTCGATTCATGATATGGGAATATTTCACACAACTAAGTGTAAAATGAATATTCTCATAACTTATTCAGAACAAATCAGTAAGAGCCAACAGTTGTTTCAATAAATTCTTCTCCAGGCTTTACAATTATAAATCCATTATTTTAAGCATACAATAGCCAGTAAAGGCAAATTAGAGTCATATCAGAAAGTGTATTATGGAACAAGTATAAGGTGCGATCGAACAATAGTCAGTTTTTTAACATGAATGGTCAACGAGAACATGAGATAAATGTCAGTGTTATGCACAAAATTCATATACATATACTTAAGTACCTAAGTGTATTAAGCAAAAGATTTAAAGTTAGATTTTCAACAATGCTAAATTTTACTGATGGTTATCAGTGTAGAAATAAACTGCATATTACAGTAACAACCAAGGAAGTAGGATTATTCAGAAAAACGTTTGACTGACATTTAAATTTATGACTGAAGTACAGTTTGCCAGTTAAACTCGATGCTGAGGAATTTTAAGACAAATTATGTTTGTCTGTAATTTGTATACCAAATTATCAAATGTATAAATGACCGTCGAATGAATGAGCAAATAAAACTGTTGGCTAAATCACTATATATTATGCAGAATTAATTAGCGTATTACGAGTGTTAGGCATAACCTAAACTAATGGTGAATACTGATTGAGAAAGGAACCGAAATACTAGGATGGAATTCATTCATATGATAAAATTTACATATGCAGAGTACTACTTAGCGAATGAAAATTTAAGCACTATTTATGGTTTGTTAACCTAAACCTCCCGTTTCTTCAGCTGAGTTACTTTCGTCTCCTTTATTTCAGTGGAAGTAAAACGGTCTATGTTAAATATAGGGGTTTATGCTGTCTAGAATATACGTATGAATTGGGAGCTCAGTGATCATATGTTACATATACCTGAAACTGCCAGAAACCGTTGTAGAAATTGGGAGAATTTAACTTTTATTGAAATCAGCGGACGTATGCTCAGCAGAAATATGTTTCCAACACACGAAACTGGTAATACTGTGTAGTAGTCCAAGTATGTTTCACATTAACCAATTTATACTAGAAACAGTGAAAACGAGGACACTGCTGTCTAAAGAACGTTATTGGGACTTGCAAAACGTTACATTACAAATAAAAAAAAGGGATAAAGGTAGTGGAATTATATCATATTGCCACCTAGATCAAAAGAAAGTGTGAATATATCTCTTTACCACTGTAACTGATTGTAAGTGATATTTTCTGGAGTCATAATTCTTTAGTTTTCCATCTAATAAGATTTTCTGTCATCTTGATAACTTGCAAGAATTTTTATCTATGTATTATTCCAAGAGAAATTTAAAAGCTTTCATCCTCCATTTTAAATGTCGAACAACATATCTTTTGTTGTTTCAGTATTACACTTAAATCAAGACAGAGTTAACTTCATTTTTGGTTCAAACGGGTGTATACACACTCCTGTAATAACACCAATGACAAGAGATTCATTACACAGCTGAATAGTTATCAGATTTTTATCGCCTGAGTGAATTAACAAAAACGCACTTGTTATCAAGAGACCAAGAATGACAAATGAGCCCCCACCTTCAGTTTTGTCAAATTTCCTCTCTCTCTGTCACTCCTCATTTTTGTCAAATGTGTCTATACATACCCATACAAGAATTAGTTACTTTGTTTGTTGTTCATCAGAGTAACAAAAGAAGAGTTGCAAACACGATAGGAACTTTTCACCCGCAGTTGTTTTTTGTTTAAAATAGTTTGAAAAATACAAGAAACAAAATAAAATCTCAAAAGTCAATGAATTTTCCACTTAATTCTATAAACTTTGGTTAAAAAAATATGATAAATTTTGATTTTTTGAAAACATTTGAAATTGAATTTTGGGTTAGTTTGTGTATTTAAAATAAAACAAGTTAATAGAATAGAATCATTTTTATGACGCTGATTAATGTCAGCATTACTTAAATGAATAAAATAACTGAAAATTAGTGACAGAGAAAAAGCTCTTGCATGTTAAGTTTATTAAAACAAGATATTTTGCATAAAACAGTCTGATTTGTATGACAATGTAATTGAATTAACTTCTGAGAATAGTACTGTCGTTGCCAGTAAATTGTGTATCTCAGTAGAGAATTTAAAAAAAAAACTAGAGCTCTGAAAATGGTACTACTGTTTGTATTTAATTAACCCAGCAGAGATGATCTGAAGGAATTTTCTCGGGAGAGTAAAAAGACATACTAGAAAACAGTACACAAGACACAGCGGTGAAGCTAGAAAAGGTAAAATATGAGGGGATATAAATTAGGGCAAAAACAGTTAGATCTTTTCTGTATAAATAGCTTTTGTAGGAAGCCAAATATTATCGTTTCCAGGTATAATCTAAGGAGAGTGAGAAGATCGGAATAAGCTGGATCGATAACAAGACTCTAGAAGATCTGGATTTTGCAGTTGACTTATGTTTATTGTCACATAACACCTTGTAGACTTGCAGGCAAAAACCAAGAATCTCGCAGAAGAAGCAGCCAGCAAAGACAGGAGTTCAAGGGAATATGAAGAAGATGAAGGTGATGAGGATAAGCAACCAACAGTGACAACACCAGTCACTATCGGCGTACGAAATTGTAAAGAGGATACTTCCTTCACATATCCGTGAATCACACTTGCAACTATAGGGAGTCGGAATGGATGAAGATATCAAAGCCAGAATCGGAAAGGTAACGTACACCCTCATCAACCTGAAAAAGTTTGGAAATCTTCTGGACTCTGCAGCATGAAGAACAAGATTCGGATTTTTAACAGCAATGTCAAGCCAATTCTTTTATACGGGTCAGAAAATTGGCATATCACAAAAAGCATTTTCAACAAGTTGCATACTTTTATCAACAGCTGCCTCATCTGGCTGCATATTGATCATCAAATGGCCAGCCGGTCAGAAATAATTAGTAACAAGAAACTATGAGGACAAACTAACCAAGAACCTATCGATCAACGAATTTGTAGGAGAAAATGGAGATGGGTTGGGCACACACTGCAGAGACCGTCGAATGTCATCGCGCACAATCCATGCCACTGCTTGGGTGGAATCCGAATGAGGAACGACGAGTGTGAAAAGGAGGGGATCTTGTGAAGAGGAGACAAAAGATTACAGGCATCCGTGGGCACAGTTCGAGAGGATAGCAGTAAGAAGAACAAAATGAGGATGTGTTGTTGAAGCCTTATTTCCACTCGAAACCCAGTAGAACAATCATAAGTAATAATAATACACGTATAATATGTGTCACTAGTTATCTTTTATTTTCCCACACCTTTGTCATGTTCTTTGATAGTACCACATTTAACATTTATGACTTCATGAATGATTTCATTAGATATGCTCATTGGGTAGCTGCAAATGTTGTTATTCCTGAGTCCCATACAGTTTTCACGTAATTCACAACTCAGATGTAATACCATGTAATAGGCGCTATTGTTTTTGTAAGTGTTAATGATACTGCATAGCAAGTCCTACATTAGTGAAACGTAAAAATGTTTGAAAGTCAGTTATCAAGATTAGCAGTCTTTAGCTTCCAAAACAAACAGTAGAAGTGACGAGAACAGGACTAAAATAGGACATACCTGAAAAATAAACCAGTAGTGTCTGGAGAACAGAGTGAGTAATTAGTAAAATTATATTTCTACTTTTACTATTTCTTTACATGCAGTCTTCGTACTGCTTATCCGATAATTTCACTATGCTTTAACTGCTGTAAGAAGATGCTGACAGCTGCGTATCCGTAAAGTCTCTTTGCCCTAAGATTGGACGAAGACCTGATGCTTTTATAACCAAATTTAATGTATTTCTTCAAACTGTAGACTACTGAAATTGTACTTTGGATTTTAATAAGCCTTGCCCCAAGTTAAATGCTTTTCAATAGACGTTTTTACCCCGAATGAACGATGACCTCTAACTCTGGAAATCTATGAAATATATACTGGATTAATTCTTTTTTTAAGATAAAGCGTTACCATGTAATATTCAAGAAACCAGTATTGTTAAACTCCGACAATACATTGATTTCAACTATCTATGAACATAAGTAATTACTCAGGCCCCAAGAAAAATAACGTATTTGTTGTATTTCCTAGATGTTACTTAAAATATCCCATTAAGTATAAAGTTATTCATAAGATATACTTAGTCTTTTCATTACCAATTCAGTGCTGTAATGACTAAATCAACTGAGATTTGGTTCCTGAAGTTTTAATGAAAAGTAATGGTAACCTATGGCATCCACTTGTCACAATACGTGGCAGCTTTGTTGTATTCCTAGTTGACAAAATTTATAATTTTTAGACTGCTGATTTTTGAGCCATTGGTCGAGTAACAACTTTCTTATCCCGCAACATGAAAGTCCTGAAGTCAGTCCCTGGGAGGTCTGTAGTGGGATGCTGTTCAAGAGTTCCCAAGTTAAGAGCAGGGTAGCTAAATGTATCTGCATCTTAGGGAATTGGGGCGTTTCCACTGAGGCTTTCAACATTTCCCTTCTTGACTTGA